GAATATGCAAAAAATCGCGCGGAAAATCGAACAATGTCACGCTTCACCGTCCGAGAGAGCCGAACAAAAGTATCGTACGTACATAATTGGTATATTTACGTTAGAGGTGGCGCGCGTGCAGTACGCAAGGAAAACTGAACAGCGCCAGCTACACAGGATAAATTCGCGCGAGTTTCTGCGTCAGCCGTCTTGGAATAGCGAATGATGTCAAGCTCGCTCTGCCACTTCGATCGTTCACGAGAGAGTCAAATACACGCACGCTTCGCGATACAAAATTTTGACTCGAATTTCTCACGCTTGAGAAATTAGATCTCCGTGATGGAGAAAACAGTAGAAGAGTTGCTGTCGAGAAGACACGATACGAAAAAAACAATAGAAGATGGATGTGACACAGAGGAGAGATGCAGCAACTATGGGAAAGATCTCTCACGATTGCATCTGACTTTTCTCCAATTCGCTTCGTTTTCGACATTAGAAATTAAGAGGATATCTCGGAAGATGTCGTCGAATTCCTTCGACGTTTCCAATGCGAAAGGATGCTTGGCCTGAACAATTACGTTTTCCACGAATAAGCGTATTGCTCCAATAATAATTCCCGTTTGAGAAGAAAGATGAAAGAGAAGAATCTGTCTGGCTTCTTTTTTCTAAACGACAAAGAGCACTACTTCGCGTTAGTTGTTGAGAAGTTGACGGAACAGTAGCAGGAGGTTGTTCTGTTGAACGCTTTTGTCCTCCAGTTGAATGGTTGAATCAAGGAAAAGGAATATCAGAATATCTGTCAGAGATGAAGTTACGTAGGAAAATACACCTTAACGTCAGTTTATGAACAATTAGTTGTACATGCCTCGCCACCTTTTTACTCTGGTGTTTCTAACCTAACAATTTGAGCTAGATGACTGTATGAATCAGCGGTTCCCAACCTGTATAGTAAATGCGCAATTAAATATTAGTAACGGCGGAAAACATAAGAAAAGGAGTTAAAATAAAAACACAAAAACAAAGTTATAGAGTTTTGATTTACAAAAAGAGACTTATGTTCACGTATGTGAAAGTTTTTGAGGGATGGGGGTTTATGAGAGGAGGAGACACTCAGAAATGAAAAGTTTAAGGGGTACGGAAGGGGAAAAAGATTGGGAACCGCTGGTATAGATAATTAATACTTTGAGTGCCGCTTGTACAGAGAATTTGACTGCACGCCAAATAAAATTTCTGTCTCGTTATTTTTGTATATTTCTAATATGAATAAAGTTATTTTTCCTTGTTACGCAGTGTGTTTTCTGGCCTCAACATTTATTGCAATAATAATTAAATCTCAAGAAGCTAGAAAATATTTTACATGTTTCTCAGATTTTCCATTTCTGATATTTTGGGACAATTCACTCGAAACTATCTCGGCACCCAACGTGTTAAAAACACGCGAGTTCTTGTTCTTTAGGAAAAAGTCGCCAAGTGGTCGATGTTACATATCGAGGACAACTGACAATGAGAGTAAACAGTAATTAAACGCGTTATCGGACGTACACAGAGTCAACTATCGATTTTATGATTCCACAAACGAACCACAATCTATAACCGTGGATATAACACTTTGTGGCCGTGATTGAAATTTATGGAAACATGTGTAGTACGTGTACGTGTACGTGTATCATGCACGGTCGCGGAAATTGAATTTTCCAGGATAATAAGATATCTTGAATGCGAGAATGTTGCGTGTCCCGTTCAATCGTTGTTCGCGATCATTGTTGCCATTTTAACGAACGATCGTGTGCTTGAAAATTTTCCTGTATCCTCTTTGTTGTTAACACTTTCCCGTCTTAACGCTTAATTGAATTAACTTTCATTTATTCAATCATGTTAATATCTATGGGCAAAGTACGCGATGTCCGCCGTGATCAAAATATTCTACATATGTAAGCCATTGTAATTTAAATGATAATTAAAATGGATAGACTAGTACGATTATGTCTCTGTTTAAACAGGAATTAATGATTTTTACAAGAATATCCGTATCTTTTAGGAATTTGTAAAAAAACGAAAGTTTAATTGTTACAAATAATGAAATGTAATAAATAATAATTATACAGTAAAAATTATATAATATTAATTATATAATTATAATAATATATAATATAATATATAATTATATAATAAACTTCTGTAATAATAATATATATTTCTTGCAGGCAACTATCATTTCAAATATCCCGCCGAAAAAGTGTCGATCAACTTAATACAACTCGAGAACATTCTCGCGATCGAATTTATAATTATCATCGGCTGGCACTTTCTCATGTTTTTCTCATGTTACTATATATATCGAATATGTATATGTGAATTCCTTTACTTCTGCTAATAGTTAATTTATTCCTTTACTTCTGCTAATAGTTAATTTATTCCTTTACTTCTGCTAATAGTTAATTTGTGAAATAGCTAATAGTTCATTTTATGAAAGAAGAAAGAGTACGAGAGGGAAATGGGAACGAACAGGGGAGAGTCGAATTGGAAGATGAGATAGGAAATTGACACGAATCAATAGAACTGCGTCACCGGTATTTCTATCTTTTCCAATAAATTTGGAAACGAGATTGATGAGAACTTGTGTTTTGACAATGGTCGTGCTCTTCTGTAATTCGTCGAAATATAAAAATCTGGCGACAAATCTGACATAATGACAATCAACGAATTTTGAATAAATTCGTACGATCGAGATTTACCTTCAACTCCTTGTCTTGTAATATCGAGTAAAAGCTTGTTAGTACAACTTACGATTTCGATTTATTGTTAGAAGAAATGACAAACTGCAGTTCTACGAAATTTCAACTCCAAGCTTAAACTTAATTTCCCGAAGTTGAATTTATTAATAATGTATAAATTATAAACGTTTTATGTTTGAAATAATTATTTTACAATAAGCAAATAATTACATGTAATACAAGTTATTATTTCAATAATAAGTAAATATTTTACAATGAATAAGTAATTTATTTTAGAATAAATAATGTTTATCTAAGAAAGTTGTGAAACAAGGAATTGAAATAAATTTGCACTGATGGAAAAGCCTAAACGAGCATACGTGAACGAGCGTGTAACGAAAATCCGTCACCGGCATCGTCGCTATCATTACTGTCGTTGTCGTGACCTTGGCAAAAGAAATAAGCTATCTCAATTCAATGATCGAGAAAGAGTTGGACAAGGATACCTCTTCTACCATGAACAAATACATATGTACCTCTATCTACTGCTAAAATCACCGACTAACGTTGCTTTCGCTACCAGATCATTACACGTGAGTAATGAACGTGAAAACGAATTACGACATCGATACTCGCACGTAATCAATGATTAAACGCTAATTAATAATGTCAGCGAAAAAGTTGAAAATGAATCGGGGGAAAAGAAAGCGGAGTACCAGGTGTTATCGCGTTCAGTTTTTTCGCGAGGATGTTTCACAAAATTCACCTATATATTATTTTTTGTTATAAGAAAGAATATGACTGTGAATTGCGTGGATATTATGTTGTTCAACAATAAAACGCTTGAAATGAATTTATACGCGGGGACCAACAAACGGAATCTAAAATCGAATGCTACTGTTGATGGACATCTATATACACACACACAGTCACGGGTGTTTATCAGGCAAGATGTATCAAGGCAATATCGAAAGCACGATAATCGGTTCACCTGTCAAAGGGCGTGTACTCGACACAACGCGTACATGTACGCTTGTACGAAGATGGGAAACGCGTATCGTGCTTTAACGCGACCTCAAGCGTAAGCAGGCTAGGTATCGTGCGCGAAAGGACGAAGCGAAATCTACTTTTCGATGTGTATTCCCCATTTCTCTCAACCATATGAGGAATCAAATATTGCAAAAAAATATATATATATATATCAGTTATATCATCAATACGACACTTGTACGATTATCGCATCAGAAAAAAATTTCTATACTTGATCGAAAAAGAGTCGCCAACAGGTTAACCAGTTGCGTAGTTACAAAAAACAGAATCGAAACCGATACTTTTTTTTCCCCCCTCCGATTCTTTTCAGGCATGAAATTTGTAATTTCATCGCCGACCGTATGTAACTAAGATGGCGGCAATTATCTTATTCGTTAGGGCTGTCGCGTCGCATGCGTCGCATCCGCTGCGAATGGTAAGCGACTATCTTCAGACCGTCTTCTATCATACCGCAACCTAACGAACTTTACTAGAATGATTATCCCGTTCGATAAACGACCGGCAGGATGACGTATATCGAACGAGAATGAGCCGAAACAAACGATCTCTATTGTAAAAACGTAACAAAGCGGACAAGTTCTAGGTTATTTTGAACAATTCGGGAGGAAAAAAGATCAGAGACGGCTGCATGGCTACGGGGTTCACACGATCCGTGTTCAATTACACTCCGTATTATTCGCCGCCGATATTTTAAAAGACACTGCGTGCAATAACCTTTGCCTCGTTTGTACACACGCGTCTGATTATGTTTGAAAAGAGACTCACCTTTAGAATGATAACAAACGGCCTAGAAAATCGAGGCTTCGGCGTATTCAACGGCTCCCGTCCACTACGATCTCACAGAGTGCACTGGCGCAACGAGCGGAAGCCACCATCTTGAACTGCGTTCACTTGACGCTTTCCGTTCGTTCGAAAAATACTTATTCGCCGTTCCCGCTTCTTCTCAACCTCGTAGTCGGCAAACTATTTATTTTTGCTTTTGCGTTCAATAAATCAGTTGCCCTATATTTCTTTTCAAATATCTTCTCTTTTATTGCTCATATCTTCTTTAGAATCCCATGATAACACGTACAGATGTAACCATACAAAATTTTAATTGATTAAATTGCGTGACTAACTAGAAGCAGTTTGTATTTCGATTTTATTTCTAATTTTTAATTTAAGAGTTATACAACTTTTTTTTCTTTGCTTAAAATGTTCTATGTTTAAAGTTAGGAACTCTGGTGGCATTTATGTCAGACAAATTTATGCGCCATTTTCCTTAAAGTACGTAAAATATTTACTGTAATATACTATTATAAGAAAAGGTGTTTCGTGGGTTTATAATCATCAATATAATTTTTAAAACTACCTTGAAAAATGCCCAAGTCGAAAAGAGATAAGAAAAGTAACGTTACGTTGTGTTATTTGATAGTTTATTTATTTATCGTAAATGCATAATTCCTGTAGACTAACCTATAAATACACCATGTGACCCAATGATAATCTTAATCGATAAACTTGTGTTCCACAGTATCTCTCACGAAAACAACTAAAAAAGGCCTTGTTCTGAAGCAACAGATTGTGGAAGATGTTAGAAATTGTGTCGAGAAATATGCTAGGATATTTCTTCTATCCGTGCGCAATATGCGTAATGACAAACTTAAAGATATACGATCGGAATGGAAAGACAGCCGGTTCTTCTTTGGCAAAAATAAGGTGATTGCGTTGGGTCTAGGCAGATCACCGGAAACCGAAACAGCAAATGATCTTCATAAATTATCGTTAGCGTTGAGAGGACAATGTGGCCTGTTATTTACAAACAGAAGTAAAAAGGAAGTATGTACTTCTTTGTTATAATTAAATATTTAAAATACACACTAATTGCAAACACGTACAAAATTCACATCCATTCGCATGAATCTTGTCAAGGTTTTGAACTGGATGGATGAATATGAAGAAATAGATTATGCTAGATCTGGTTTTATTGTGCAAGAAACCGTAGTGTTAAGCGAAGGACCAATGCCAGAATTTTCACACAGTATAGAACCTCATTTAAGACAATTAGGAATGCCTACAGTTTTACAGAAAGGTGTGGTAACGTTGATCAAAGAGTATACTGTATGTAAAGCGGGTCAAATGTTAACTCCAGAACAAGCAAGAATTTTGGTAAATATGCTGTTTTACATTTAACATATATCAAATACAATGATATAATAGTTTGTATCTTTTTACAGAAATTACTGAATAAACCATTGGCTACATTTAAATTAATACCTTTAGGTGTATTCTCCAAGAAACATGGATATAAACAACTTATATCTCAGGATGATGTTAAAGAAAATATAGAAGAACAAATGGACATAACGGAAATGGAAGAAATTGATAATACATAAAGCATTAGTTCTTATAAAAATATATATAAAGTTTTATAAATATTTCTTTCTCTCATTTCTTTTTATATCCCCTTATAGTCAACTTTTCACCCTATAAATTTTGTTAAAAAAAAAAATAAAAGAAGAAACATATGAAGATATTAACTAGAGCTATTCATTTTTGGAAACACCTGATGTAAAGATAGACATAAACATCATTTTTAAAACATTAAAATTATGAAATGTGTTTCTTTTGATCAATTTTTCTTTACTTAAACCATTTAGGAATGACACTATCTTTATACTTTTCTGTATTTTGGATTATTGGAATTGTATTGGTAAATAATGAATTACTATACTAACCTACAATATAATTAAAAATATCGAAATGCGGATTTAAATTATTTTTAATTGTCTATGTAGACTGTTTATTATTGGTGTTCTGAAAATTCTTGCAAAAATAAGGTGATTTTTGATCTAAATTCTGATAATGGAAATAACATGTCGATTGATTCCTCTGATGTATCAGATGATGAATCTCCAAATTGCAATAAAAAGAGATTAAAATATGAAGTATATAAATTCAAATATTAAATTAAGAAAATTTTGTCAATACTACTATGGTTAATTGTGTTCTTTCATTATTTATTTTATTACTGATTGCAGATTAAAACACGTTGGCCAAGCAGAACTTCGATAAATGATGTGCGATATTGATCAATGGAATTAATATAATTTGGCTATGAAAAGAATAAACTGATGAAATTTAAATCGTTTAATGAGACTGTTGGTTTATTATTATTTTGTCGTTTATTTGTTTTAAAAACTACAAGATATATAATTACTACATATTGATGTTTAGTCACAGAATACGGAACAATGCCAAATAAATCACATGGTAACTTCAAAATTACAAAGTATGGCACACACCACAGTATATGTGACACAAAATCTATTGAATTTCATAACTTGTTTAATAATATTAGAACATTATGCGATGATGTTATATTAAATATAACGAAAAATAGCGTAATATAAAAATATGTGGTGACATATATTGAAATGTTATATTCCATAAAACATAAAGAGATATTTATGAATTCAATATACATAACAATATCCTATAAAATTTCATTTGTTCTATAAATATTCAATCAATATTAATATTAGTTACGAGGAAAAGCATCTGAGATCTAATTTCGCAGCTAAATTATTGCTAAGAAATGTTTTCAGTATTTAGTAATTTATGCATGTATGTACGTTCATCGAGTATGAATTAACACATAACTTTATATTTATATTTATTATAAATAGTACGTAATACTTTCGAGATATAATTGATATTATATTTATTATAAAAAGCAGATATACACACAGACAATAATCAACTAAAATAAGGTTGACAGGAAATTATAAACTTAAAGAAAATTTAATTGTATTTGTACTTTCTAAAAGTGTACGTGCTTAGAGCAAACATTAAAATAATACCAAAAATTGAATAAGTTTGATTATTATCATACTATAATAGTAATAAAATTATAAAATAATAATAATAACCATAATAACAATAACAATATACATTACTTTGCTATCATTTTGTGATAACAAACTTAGTGGAGACTTGTAAATAGTATAGAAAAAAATAATATTGTCATCTCCCGCATTGCATTTTTCCTTTATTTCATTATGTTTTTTCTTTCTTTTTTTTCATGAAATCATTTGTAGTCAACCAGAAAATGTTTTGCTTTAAATGTAATTAGGATACAATACTGCATGATCAAGTAGTTTGCGTGTACCACATCATCATTTGGTTGATGTCAGGAAATTGATTTTTTACTATAATTATTTCAAATAATATATCTCTTACGTCATATTTCTAATAGTACATATTTCAAGTACGAAATATATTCTAAAATGAAAATATTTTCTATTTTCTTTGGTGGAACACAATTATACTTTTACATGTCACTGATAATTGTTTAAAATTATTAAGATTATCATTCTCTCATGTTATTGTAGTATTTTCATTAACAGAAATTAGTAATCTGTACTATTTTACTAACAACCTTTATACTTAACTATTTTTTGAATGTATTTTGAAAGACATAGGCATACAATATCATCATCAAGAAAGAAGAAAAGGAAAAAAAAAATTCAACGGCGCGCCTGCGCTACAAAATGGAACATAGTTTGGAATAATAGTAACTTCATATAGGAAACTACATATAGAAACGTTTTTTCATTATTAGTGTAAATAATAAATTTGCTTTTATACACTGTTATCGTCCTGACCTCATTAGTAATTTGTTCGAATTATATCACAATACACAAATGATTACATTCTAAAATATGGCAACTTCACAGCACACTAATTTAACAGAGATCTTATATAAAAATAAATAAGGATTTCTTTAACGAAATGTTCGATAAATATATCTGCTAAAGTAATATATAAATATTTAAATTATAATACAATAGACTCTTATATGTGATCAAACGATTCTAAGCATCAGAGATTTTTTATGAAATGGAACAAAATATAAAAAACTAGTAGTAAAACACACGTATACTATTTTTTGTTAATAATAAACGAACTTTTCTAACAAGAAATATTTTCTGTAAACGCATCAATGAATCATTTTATATGCATGTTTATCACTGTATTATAATTACTCATCGGTATCGCATAAATGTTGTCGATTACAGATCAACAATATAATATGTAAGTAGTGAAAAAATCTACGGATTACCTTAAGCACAGAATTAGTAAGCGACTTTCTTTGAGCTCTCGAAGCATATAATGATAGGATGAGTCCCTTAATTGTTATATAAGAGGCACTCGTGCTCTCTTCTCTGAGTAATGTAATAATTTAGCTATAAATTATATAAAAACTAATTTTTAATGTTATTGGAAACTGAAAAAAGAATCCTATTATTCTATGAGAATTGGAATGTGATTAAATTTGATTGTGAAAAACAGGTTACTCTTCTTACATTCTAATTTATGCATCGTTTATATTGATGATAAGTTGTTTTTATGCGCATTTAATGTTGTTTAAGATCTTGCGATCAATAATAGAAATTTAATTATTGCAGCCTACAATCATGGTATAAACCTACTTTAGTCTCATCGATTTGAAGGTCAAGAATCCTACGTCTGAATGTGTCATACGCAACATACGATATAAAAGATGATCAGTAGAATCGAACATTATCAAATTATAAATAAAGTATATCCGTTTCTTGTTTGAAGTAAAAATTATAAAATATTTTCACTTAGGTGATTTGTCTTTGAGCGTAAAGTTCTTCGAGCGATGGTACTTCCGGTATTGGGTCTCGCCAATACGCAAAATTACTAAATTCATCCGCAGCATCCTCTCTCCAGGCTGGGAAAAGATGATCGACGATAAAGCTCATGTTTGAGTATCTAGAAAAGATAATATGAACAAATTAAATGCATTGAATTTATTGTAATACTATAAACTGCGTGTTTGCTAAAAATAAAAATTTAAATCGAAAAACAGAATCTGGGGTAAACGCCAAATGCGTAGTTTCATTGCAGAGAATAAGAATCATTATACATATAGATATATAATAAATAAAATTCTTTCTTTTCATTATGATCCAACTACAGCTTCATTTTAGCATGCTGATATATGTATATATGTACATATAATGGTAAGCACTACGTTTAGATATTAAAAATTGATTTGAACTTGTTATGTTAAAAAAAAAAACATAATAAGTTTGCAAATGTTTATAACTTAACGAAATGCTAAACAATTTAACTTTATTTTCAATGTTAATGAAATTATCTACACACATATGAGTAATATGTTCGAAGTACTTGGTTGAATGATCGTGCATAAACAAAAAAAAAAAGTAAAAATTATTTTACCATATATGTGTTAATGACACACCTAGAGTCTTTATTTTATGAAGGCTTCACGCAAATAAATCAATATCAATGTCAATGACTTGAGAAAAAGCTATTGATTTTAAAATTGGTAAGTACTTCATTCCACCCGTATAACACTTAAGATGATGAGCCTACATTAAAGCTACTGAAAATGAATGAGGATGGAAATGACAAAAAACAATTGTGTAATAACTAGTGCTTACCCTATAAGAATCATAAGAAGATAGGTAGGAGTTCTTGCACAACCAAATACCTCAAAGCATACTAATAATGTTATATAATAAAAAAATAAAGTAAAATTCCACTTTTATGAAACAAATAAATAAAATAGAAAAACGAAAAAAAGTTGCCATTGGAAAGATTTAACTGCGCTTCAACAGTGATATGTATATATCACTATGATAAACATTTACATAACTATATATTGAGACACATTGCATTACATATAACATATATCTTGTAATCAAGTATGCGACATAGCTTGTAAATCTTGTAAATCTACAAACGTCACTAAATATTTAAAAAAAAAAGTACCGCGCATAAAATAATATTCCTATTACGAAGTAGCAAATCTATATGTATCAAATAAAAAGACAGGACCAATGGCACAAATCTACTGTTTTGTAAAGATCATCATCGAAACATTATCAATTGGATTAATAGAATAAAGCAGCTATGGTTGTGCCGCCATCAGTAGGTGTTTCACATGGGCAGTGGCGGGAACAACTCATTGACGATATCGCACTGACATGCGTAACTGCAAGCATAGAAATATCCGACCTAAATATGTACCAATATCTCTCTTTCTGAACAACCAATTTTCCTTTTCTGCAAAATATCTTGTTTCTTCCTTACGAACTAGATGCAGTACAAATATCAAATTCCTTTTACATCAAAATCACAAACAATATTATTTAAAAAGTCAATCATTGTTCTTTTAGAGAAAGCCTAGCGTACATACGTAATTTCTGAAAGCAACGTATGAAGATGCGAATGTCTATTTGCCTCTAGAATAACATGTTCATATCATCTTACAATTTTGTATAAAAAACATGACAAAAATATTAATTAAATGCTAATACGCTAATTAACTAATTAAAATTAATTAAATTGAGCACTACGTTTGCATGATTCTGTTTATCTACTAATAATCTACAATAATAAAAGAATATAAAATAGTAACAATAGTAAGTACTTACGAAGATTGGAATGTTTGCGTTAATTCATGTTTTAATTCACCTCTATGGTTTATAGTAAATATACGCATTGTCGGAATTCCGACAGCTCGATACGCCCAAACATCCTAGAAAAAGAAAGTAAAGAATATTTACTACATGATACTTTGGAAGAATATTTTGGGAAATTATTGTAAATTAAAATAAGGATATTTACATTAATTCGATTTCCGTAACCAGCATAGAAAGGTCTTGAACCTTCCGGGAATAAAGCTTGAATGTCACTAAGGCAGGATATTTTAAATTCTTCGGGTTTTCTTTCTATAACTTCACGATGGAATGCTGAAATTAAGCTCGTTGGATTTAAAAGCAATGGTCCGTCAGGGAGTGACAAATCTCCCTGTCTAATGCTTTTCAAATATTCTCTCGTAACTTTAGCTTGTCCAATGGCTCTTGCAGAAAGATACAGCAATTTGTAACCATTATTTTTAATTTTTGTGAATAACTGAGCAACACCAGATTGAGCCCAATCTTTACCAACGATTGGCAAAATATGGCCTAATACATCAGATTTTGTGATAGTTCCATCTATATCGGAGATAACAATTTTGTCATCCCATTTCCACTTGTAAATGTGACACTTACAACGTGTTGTACCCTGATAAGCTGTAGTTACACTAAAAACTACTTCATTAGCTCCGTCTTTTAAATTAAGGCTTGCCTGCAACAAGACAATAATTCAAAATAAATAAATAATACACAAGCATTATAAAATTTTATCCGTGACATCATTTTGCAAATCTTTTACGTACTATCTGTGCTGATGATAATCTCAAGGTTTTACGATATTTCTCAGTAGATTCGTAATACGATCTTCTTTCTTTAGGTATCTTTATTCCTTGGGATTCGTTCTGATTACTGTCGGAATCTTCGCTACCACTATAACCTTCACCGTCTCTGTCGCGACTTTTCTTAGTCTGGACGATGTCTTTTGTTAATTTCACAGACTGTTCCACTGTTTCCATTACTGTCGCTATAGTTTCTACGTTCTGATCAATCTTTAATTCTTTATTTGAAGTTTCATCAATTGGAGTATGTTCTTTGGTTTCCATTTGTTCCGATAATTGTACAACAGATCCATCAGCTATAATACATAAGAAACGATCATTTAGACGCTACTCGAAAAATAAAGGATAAAGTTAAAGAGAAAAGTATCTTACTCTGATTAAGTTCCTGAGATTTTTTGGGTGGTTGCGCAGAACGTCTCCATGAAAACCACGAACTATAACCACTACGGCTTTCGGGTTTGTCGTTGCTTTCTTGTTTCTTCTCTTCGAGCATTGGTAATGACATACATTGAGCATATAAATTTTCGATTGTATTTTGCGGTAAATGTCTTTGGAACACAGCATAAGTCATTACAATTGGACAAGCAGTAGCCCAATTGTAGAATTTTCCATTAATTTTTACAACTAAATTTGGATTTTCATACAATTTTGGATCTGAGCAGATATCTTCGAACTGGAGTAAATTTTGATGGAAAATTTCTTTCGATGGACCAGTTTCAGAATCTAAACCACCACACAAGGATAAACTAATATTCATGTTGCTATCAAATATAGAATGTTTCGATTCTTCAAAATCACTGTCTAATGACTTTGGTCCACCAATAGCTCCTTCAACGCTGTTAGGACTTTGTGGCAAACTTGGTCCGTTACCTGATTCGGTATCCTCTTCATCTACTCCTTTCCCATCTATGAATACGAGTATTACCGTAATTATGTATAACAATTTATTAAAATGAATTATTTACCTTTAACCGTTGTTTGGCTTCTATGAGAAGAAGGAAAATAGAGTGCTGCAACTTCCGGGTCCAGTTCGTCGGCGTTAAGATCACTGAGATAAATCCCTTCTGATTCTGGATTACGTCTCATACGAGAGGTTTTCCGCATAAACGACAACATACCACTGAGCATAGATCGGTGTGCTTCCACTGTTATTGAAACAATTGATATAGTTAGTCTAGAATACATAAAATTTTATTATAATATATATTTACAAATTTTTTTTAATACTTTTACAGACAAAAGTAAATTAAAAAAATTTACGCTGTGTCCTTTTTTTAAGCAAAATATAATATTTTGTGTTTTTTACGATTCTTATCTTTACGTTTTTCCTTCTGTCAATTATACTAACTATTTGGCTGAGTAACAGCGTTCGATGAACCCAGTGAACTTCTGTGAGGTGCATGCACCGGCTCTGGAGGTAAACTGGGCAGTTCGCCCCATCTCCAGCTCTGCTGATGGCTTTTATCTTCTTCTCTTTCAGTGCCTTCTTGCGTTATTTTACGCATTTCAAACTCTGTGTCAGATTGAACAGGTGAACATGGCCTAGAATCCTGATTCCTATTAAATATGATGACAATAAAACGGTAAAAATATTAATTTTACATGTAAGTATGCAGTGCGAACACACCTGTCTCACAATTTCTATAGTATTATGTATATGTATGTGTATGATTATGTGCAGCTCTTAACTTTTATACACATAGACAGAGTAAATATGTAACATGTACACAAATGTGGTAAACTTACTTTGTAACTTCAGTATCACTGAAGAAATGGAAGTCTGTTTCAGGACGTTTGTCCGTTGTTTCCTGAGTTGAAATTATAGGTTCATTTTTTTCCTCTAGTTCTACGGTTGGACGTGAATCCTTCAACTTTAATCGATACACATATTAATACATGATGCTACATCGATGGCTGAATAATTAGGTCTATAAAAGCAGCACAACTTACAGATTCACCAAGAGTTCTTACAGATTCATCCGAAATGGGAGTATCGTTTTCGCTTATCTCTGTCTGGCTACTACTACCATTGCTAGCCTTCCTCTGAGATCCTTTCTTCTTCAAAATGCTTTTTCTCTTGCGTTTCCTCTTAGTTGAATTAGTATTGCTCTTATTTTCTTCGACGCCTTCGTCTTTTAAATTCTTTTTACTCGTCGATGCATTCGATTCGTCACTCGATTTTTCCCTGCCACTACTTTGCACATCTTCGGTGATTGGTCTAAAGTCATTGTTTACTACGCTAATTTTACGAATTCTTTCAGACGAAGTCACAGCCACAAAAGACTTGGGCGTAGCTGGACAGGTCTCATCATCGTTAATGCCATCCATATTAAAAATTTCATCCTCGCTTTTCAAGCAATCTCGTTTTTCACCGCTCTTTTCTTTCCAGTTTCCCAGCAGAGCTTTTTCAAATTTTTGTCTTTGATCGACAGAAAGTTCTGGAAAATTTTCTTTGAACAATCTCTCTTTATCCTCACTTTTTAAAGCGGAATATTGCTCGCAAATTAACTGTTGCCTCTGTGCCGTAGGAATATCACCAAATATTTCTTTGAACATTTCCTCTCTTTCCTCTGAAGTCAGAGCAGCAATTTGAAGCCACTTTGCACGGTGATCCGATGGAAGGTCAGAGAACTGTTCAATTAAGAATCTCTCTCTTTCGTCCACTGGTAAAGCCGACATTTGCTCCCATTTCTCTCTTTCAACAGACAAGATAGATTCTATAACAATCTTGTCTCTTTGCTCTGGCGGCAGATCAGAAAGTATATTGAATCTAGCTGACGGGAAACAATTATCTTCAGGGATGGGAGAGCAAGCCAGATGAGGCGGAATTTCAGTGTCAGTGGGAGAACCATGTGAACTAACTTCCTCTACAAAAAAGGCTTCTCCAGAGTCTCCCAATTTCATGTGGATTTGTCTAGGCTCTCCATTTATTTCTATGTCTACCTGTGAAAGAGAAGACGAACAAATTATTTCTCCTCTGTGTCTAATCTTACGTTACATTTTGTACCAAATAGAACATTGCTGCACAAAAGATTTTAATAGATATAGAAAACAAGATATGAAACGCAGTATTGCAATAGATTTCAAACATTTCTAAAAATATTGTTGAACACGAGAGATAGACGTAGGATAAACGCAAACAGAGACTTACTATTTTTTCTCTGGAACGTAGTACACCAAGTTTCCCAAAGCGAACGTGGAAAGGCGAACAGGTGAACGATCCATCCGGTTGCTCGACGACGATGACGTCGATGGCACCGGTAAGCGTCGCCGCGTTGATCTCATTGTAGAAAACGCGAAAGTTGCTTATGAATTTGCCAATGTAGTTCATACTGTACATCTTACACTAACGTATTACGTCTCGAATCACGTCCCGAAATGTATGTCTCCGTCGAGATATTTTCACCGTTCCGCGTGTCAAGCGGTGGACTGCGACGACAGGAAGATTGGAAATCGCCGCGACGCCGGTCAGTTGTATATCCAGCCGTTCAAAAGTCTTCCGTGGAGAGGAGTAGCATCCAGTCCAGGCACGTCGAGCTTAAAGAACGACTTAACCACATCGAAAAGTGCCGTTCCTCGATGGCATTTGTCAGGGTCGACGTGGCTTGTTGCTAATCGCCCGCTATCAGTTAGAAGGTTCTAACCGTGAACTCTTGCTTCGGATCAGTATCGAACGAACTTCAACGAAACCCGTCGCCAATGCGAGACGAGAGAGAACTGTCAAGGATTCGAAGCCGGGCAAATGCTTCGACTGCAGAGCTACGACGAGTTTATCGATGCGCGTCGGGACACGCAACCGTCGAGAACGCCCGTTCAAAACTGGTGAAAAGGGATGTATCTGTATGATAGAGTACACTCACGCATAACTAGATTCGAAGTTAAAGTCGTTTGTTCTCTCGGTTCGGTGAAAAATCTATCCAGCCGACTACCAGCAGACGGTAGTCGAAATTGACGTTAGAACAGGTCACGTGTGCAGCGTTGGCCAATCCGAGTTCCGATACACGTCGGTCAATAAGGCTGGACGTCACGTGACCACGTGGGAATCCGAGTGTGCCGCGTCCTTTGAATACTTCTACCGGATCTGAAAACAGGAAGTTTGCTCATTAATTCAAACTGCACGCAGATACACGAACTAAGGACAATCAATACGGTTTCGAAGGAAATCAACTTAACGTTGATGCATTAATTTCCTAAGTCTAGCGTTGTCGTCGAGAGATGTGGATCATTAAAGTTCGGTTGTATAATTTTCTTAAAATAGCGGAAGTATTTTAAACGCTGAACTTTGCTCTAATGAAAGTTCGTGATGCGTGCGAGCGCTTAACATTTTCACACTCGTGCGTGCTCGTCATCTTCCATCGTCATCTTGGCATTGTTGGCTCAAGGTTGCATCGTGTTTTAAACGTTGTCAGGCGTGACCAGAATCGAGGAAATAATCGAATATCAGTTTGGATCATCGTGGAATTACGTGCACGCAAACATCGCGTGTTTTTGGACAAGTCATTTTATTATTGCTTCATCAGTCGCGCGTGGACGATATCGAAGAAAGATACAACGTGACTCTTTTTTAATTCGATCGCTCATTTAATAGCTACTGCATCTTTCAGAAAATTCAAAAAGTTTTTAGAAATTAAACGTTGAGCCATCAGAACAATAAAATTATTATTAACCCGGGATTACCCACGTGAGGGTCTAGTCGCCGGGATGTACCTGCGCTAGACCCCCAGGTGGGTAATCCCGGGTTAAATTTGTTATTAATAATTGAATCACAATTAAATTATTTGTCGCGTCATTCCGTTTTAGAAACGGCTTGTAATAAATGATACTTTGTATTTTGATCGACAGACCTGTTCAATTTTTATCGGAAACGGATTCACATGTTAATTTGTTGCGTAATTAAATCCGCTTGCCTACGATCATTCGACGATGCTAAATAACAACAATTCATATACGTAATTAGACCAACTTCAACAAATTCAATAATATCGTTAACAATGCAGCGTGTATTCTTGTCCTATCTGAGAGATTTCTGTTTCCGTTTCTCTCTCTCTCTCTCTCTCTCTCTCTCGGTAACTGTTCCTCTTTTACTCGTTCTCTCGTGTTTCATTGACATTGAAATATCGCAGGTGCAAACGTGTGAATATCATTAGTAATCAACACTACATGCAGATGGCACCGCAATATGTATTATATCTAACAATATGTAAATATACACTTATATATGTAGATACAGTAGTTCGTTAAAACGAGATACGAAAATATGGCTAGCAATCGTTCAAAAAAAAAAAAAGAAAAAAGAAAAGGACTAGTGGCAACTGTTTCCGAAAGAGCCAACTTATTGTTTGTCTCCCTTTTTACGCAAATCATTCTAACGAACAATTTCCTGGAACACACGTTATGGTTAAGTTCAGGGCCGAGAATCGTATCGCGAGTTACCAGTAATCACAACGAGTTTCTTGGCATTTGGCGATTCGCCAGAATCGAAAGACATTCTAGCCAAAGTGGAACACGTTCTTCCGAAACAATTTCCGTTCCTCACTCTTGTTCGCTGTGCTCGAGTTAGCAAGCACAATACACGCTCTATCTACGACACTTTTTTCTTCTTTTTACTTACAGTTTTTCTCCTCCCCCTTTTTTTGTAATTATTAATTATTCTGCTTCGGAGCTTATCTAAATGGCAGTATAAGATTGTGCAACCGCAGCTCCATCGAAAATAACCATGAAGAAAAAAAAAAAAAGAGAATGAAAAGGAAAAATAAATGCTAGAGAAAAAAATAATGTGGGTTTGCAGTCACTACGCTACACGTGCGAATAATCTCAATAACAAACGCATTTTGTGCAATCGCCTGTTTTACATATATTTAATTATGCTCTTTTCAAAGACTATCATTCCTCTTAGACTGTTGTTTCAACATGTGTCGTAAAAATTGTATAAACAAGTAAATTCATTTCTTTCTCGGTCGCAGATAAAAATTTTAGGAAAATTGTCGATTCGGAAGCGAAATGTTCCATAAGTATATGTAGAAACGTTTGAATTTCGTAATTACCGTGGAACTTGTCGTTCAGAGAAATGGATGACTCACTATTACGTATTTGTCCGCCAATGACACGGTGGTTACATTTTTAATTTCGACAATGACTGATTGAAGGTCGATTTGAAAATGACTCGCTTGTTCTTCGAGATTTTTACCGGATGTAATATCAGCTGACTTTAGCGTGGCTTTCAATTCTTACTACTCTAAAACTATTTCTTTTCTTCCTTTCAACTTCCCGAGGCTACACGCTGGTCTATTTACATTAGCATTTTCCATTAGCGTTCGCCAGTACTAGATTTTGTTATGCGAATTTATGGAAATGTAATTTTACGTGATTGTCTTGCGTCACGGCGGATAAACACGCGACAGACACGTCTACGCGAATTTAATTTCGTACCTGGGAACTTGCTCTTTTATTTGCTGTATCCCCTACCCTCTTCTTCGATCTAACCTTTCCATTCTTCCAGTTTCCGGTTAAAGGACAAAAGAAAAATATTACAATGCTACTGCAAACACAGGCATCGTCACAACCAACTTTAATAAAAACTAAAGGAGACAAAACATCGGGATTCTGTTCTGCATGTTTGGCCTTCATCCAGAGACTGATTCATTGCATTGCCCGTGCACTCGACACTGAACTTTATCTATCAACCAATCGCGCGAAAATCTTTTCTCTCGCGCCAGAAGCTAATCCATTCTTTTGTAATTTTGTTACGGCTCTATCGAGCTGCCAAAACTCTTCCCCGAAGGAACCGAAGAAGAGAGCACGAAAAGAGACAGCCGATTCGACGAAAGAAAAAAAAAACTGAGATTGCGTCGCCTTTGCAAAAAATGGCGAACACTTCTAAACCTTGAGCTTTGATCGCTCTATCGCTTTCGACGAAAATACGCGAGATCGAACCTGAGGATATAAACAAAGTTCGAGGAAGCCAGTGCCAAACAGTAGAAGCAAAGATAGACAATCGAATTATGCAAGTGAATTTTCTTCTTTCGAAACCTCGTTCTTTGGAAACGAACAAGGCGAATGTTGCTTCGCAAATATCAGATATCAATACTCTCGACAATGTCGACAAAAACTTTACGATAATACATTTCGCTGTCACTATTCATACGAGACTATTCAGTCTCGTTTCATTCATACTCGAATCGCTTCTTTCAATTTCGCGCAACTGACGTGCATACGTACGTATGTAAATAGTTGTATATATGATGTGCAATCGTCTCTCGTAATCTCGTCGAACAGGAAAAACCATCGAATCAATCATAGATAACAGCTTTCTGTTACTATCGTTATACTACGATACGAACGTATCTTGTTCATGTGCCCTTTTCCTTTCACTTACCTTCTCAAGAACACGATCCCACGATTCCCGTTTTCGTGAAAAGAAGCTTGAGAAAATCGCCGACGCACTGTGTTATTGGCAAACGTTAAAATCTGATCAGAAAATATTCGATTTCTTCGAATGTCGTTTGACGCGCGTACAGTTTAATTAAACATCGAGGAAAATGAAGAGAAATGACGTTACCGACGCGCCGAAAGGGAACTCTGGTAAACTGCTTCGTTCGAGCATTCAAGTGAAACTGAGTCAGCGACCGAAGACTCTTGATTCTCGATACTGCGCTCACGTTTTATCGTGGCTATGCTCGAACAGCCGGCGATGTGTATATACTTGCTTACATACACCGTGCTGCTCGTGGCATAATACATGTAGGTAGATATACATGCTCACGGCACGAGCACGTTGAATGCTACGCGCGTAACCGTTGGTAAACACGATCCTTGTCAAGGCGAAGAAAACGTGCGTGGTTCATGCGTTTGCCAATGGAGAGCCTTCTGATTGGTCGTTGACGCTCGGACTAGTAGTCGAGCCTTCTTTTCGTTTTGTAAAAGAATAAAAGGAAATACAGCGATACGTAGTAGCGATCGTTGACCTCAATTGCTCGATTTGTCTCTTTCGACGTAACCGACTATCCCGTTGCGTTGCTTTTCTCCGCAATGCCAGAAGTATGTGTCAATGAAAAAAAAATCATTTTTGTGTACATATATATGTAGATACTACGTACCTATATTTCACTACATGTTGCACATAGTTCCGATAGTTTCTGCAGGGAAAAACGGTGACGATCGGTAACGAATGGTGACGAATTACGAGATCAGGATCCGTGATAAACGGTGACGAGTTACAAAATTAAATCGATAAATAAATCTCAAACAGGAAGACGTGGCGTTAGTACGAATACGAAGGACGAAAAAAGCGAGCGTCGCTAGTAAACACCGATCCGCCGAACGAGAAAATGTCATTGTTGTCTGTTCAGGTATCTACCATCTAGCTTGAGTTGGCCCGATACGCAATTGCGCAAACCCACGCTGAAAAACAAAACAATTTCACAATCAATATGATAGACTGAAAATACACTGAAAACATCGTCATTTACGTGCTTAATGATTTGACCTGTTCTATTTCCAAACTCGATAACAAACAACTACATGTGTGTAGACATTCTACTAGACAGGTAATAGGTTGGTTAAAGGAATCGCGTGGATGATAGCAAATAACACATTGGTCAATATGTTGACACCTTGCCGGCGGGATGTTTGAAATAACAGTTGCCTACAAGAAATATTTATTTATTAGAAATCTATAATTATAGAAGTTTTGTATATAATTGTACAATTTTTAAAGACATGGCTATTCTTGTCAAAATTAATATTAATTTCTGTTTAGACAGAAACATAGTTGTGTAAATCTATTTATTTCAATTATCGTTTAAATTATAATGAATTATATCTGGAATATTTTGATAGTTCCAGTAATAACAGATATTTTCATTCGTTTATTTATTATGATTTTTGTTAATCAATCAAAGTCAAGTATGTATAGGTATATGTATATATATGGCACCCATTCTGAAAATGTTACGACGTTAAAGCAACGGTGTTTTTCCTACTAACTAAAAGGATCGAATGAAATTAGCACGATATCCCTTGTTAATAAGATAACATGTTTTTAACCTCGACATTGCCGCGTAATCCTTCCTTACTAGTGAACACGCCACGAATCGATAATTCTCGAGTTACATTGCGTAATATCGTAACTCGATTTGACCAACGCGCGCAGCACTTCACGTAACATCACAAATTTTCTATTTAATGAGCGATCTCGAAATATTGACACGTTGATGCCACCTCTGAATAAATAATTCCGAACAAATTGAACCGACGATTTGAAAAGAAAAGGGAATAAACGAACTGTACAGCGAATAGTGTAAACAAATTATTGATCTTACTTAATCAAACAATCGAAAATATTGTGTTTGCTGCACGTGGTTCTATCGCTTTGTTGTTACAAACGACACGTTCCAGAGCATATGCTCAAGTGTCCGTTTGTTCACATAACGTAATCGCAAGTGAAAGCGTAATATGTAACAACCATACACAGCATGTAGCTGATCAACGTTTATGATGGACCACTTTCCAAATTGTTCAGTTTTTACGTCAGACAGCTATGCGACAACAGAATTCGCGGCAAGATGCAAGCAAAATATTTAGATTGGCCAAAATGTAACTATGTTTATTTTCTGTGCAAATAAAAATTTAAAGGCAAATATATTGACCGTTTCGTTTCATCATCTTTTGTTATCTTTCAGGCAATTTCTTGATTCTACGTTCAAAGAAATTCTTATCTTTTTCGACAAAAAATCGTTCCAAGAACGATTTGATATCCTCATCAGCAGTAACATTTAGCAGACTAATTCTGACACAGTTTTAAGGCTTCTTCACTATTTTTTTTCCTTTTCAGAGTGTTCGCACCGCAAACTCATCCAGCCAGGGAAAGCAGTTTTATAATTTCTAATTTCTCGACGGCAGGGATCTCTCGTGACCATATTTTATATCCTTTGTTACTTTTCATCTTCTATTGTAGTCACATCGGACTACCAATTTCAAGGCTCGACGCTCAATTCTAAGGATCGGTGACTTTATCGCAACTTTTCTACGACATCCATAAATCCAAGATATATTGCTATGGACCGTTAAAAAATGCAAATACTACTTTCTGGGACGGACCTCGCTCACATCTAGAAACAACTAGCATACCTCCCTAATCCCGTAACCATAGAATCCACAGCTATATAAGACAAGGAAATAACGCACGAGGAAAACAGGACAGTTAATGTTTTGGCAGTGCGCAGTGCGCACAGAAATTCCGTAGCAACCCATCAACATACGACAGGTCACGGTTCGACTATCAAACTCACTCAAATTTTATCATTTACGAATTCAAGCTCTCTCTTACGACAATCTACATTCGTCAATCCTACCAATTCAACCCTAAAACAACTCTGAATTATATATAGTTGACTTTCATTAACGTTGAAAAACAGCAAGCCATCGATCTGCTCAACGCTACTTATACGTCGAGATCGAATCGGCACGCGACACAGAGATAGTACAGCATAATATGATATTCCTTTTTGATTTTTCATTTCGCAATCAACGCCGAACAAATAATTGTCAACGAGATTGTGCATTTTCTTTTTCTAAAATAAGCCTGATAACAATCAAATATCTGATTACGAATTAATTAATGAATTTGTGGTTCAAAAATAAAAAGTTAGTTACATTTTAAGATAGAACATGTATGTTCGTCTATTAGAAAAAAATGTAATTTCTTCTTTATATATTACATAAAAATATTGTATGAAGAATATAAGCAATTTGTTGCAAATACATAAATTTTGAACAGACACTGTATATTTGAGTTAAATTCAAAAATGTTTATAAATCACTATAAAATATCATAACGCGTGAACATAATAGATATATAAGTTTATATTATTATTAGCAAAATCGAGTTTCAAATGGCAGGGAAGATTTAATTATTCAGAGAGGTAACGATTTAATTAGGATTTAATTATGTATTTAAGATTGTTTTTCTTTGTAATAAAAGTTTGGTCAATTCATATTACATAATAGGTCCCTCTTATTGTCTAAAATTGTATGTGAAATATATACTTTCGACTATATTCACGAGCAATTTTCATCCAAATTTCAAATGCTATTTGCCAAAAATAAACTACCTGATTCTGTGCTTCGATTTGTTGAACAGAAATATCGAATCTTTACACGAATCTTTTTAAAGATCAAATGGATCGTAGGAAGAAAGTTTGCAAATGATTATAAAAGTTGGCAAATTAATCATGTTAATTAACTTTTCTTGCGAATGAAAATTTGATCGATTCGTAGACATTCGAACATCAGCACCGCCTAATGGATACAGTTAACCTATCAATGATGAAATTAGAAAAAACAAATTGATTAACTTCTGAGCTGAATTTTTCAACTGCACGAAAATCAAATTAAAAACCATGACTTAGGAAACTGTTTTTCTGTAGCATCGTTCTGATTTTTTATCTAATTAATTAATTAATTACAGACTATTGGTATTACGTTTTAATCATTGCGGCGCCATCTGATGGCAAAAAGAACTAATAAAAAAAAAAGTTTATTCGCGTATTTCATAGTCAACTGTTGTATAAAGCGAAAGCTGAGGGACTAATTAAACGGACATAATTAGAAAATTTTCAAGAATAAATTCCTTTAAGTCGCTTTTGTAAATGAAAATTTGCAAAAATTTGCTAAACGCTGCGCCATGCAGCGGTGAAACAGTGGAACCAAAAACTATTGCTGTTCTTGTCGCACACTGGCGCGTTCCTTGTTTAACTAACAAAGTGTTTCAATCTGTTGAGTAAAAATTGCAGATCTTTGTACGAGAACTTTGCTAGTCAAACAAAATACGGAAAGAAAGCTGAGGGCCTAAAAATAAAGCAACAGCTGCAAAAGTTTCCAAATTAAACCATTCAATCAGTTTTTTCTGCAAATGAAAATTTGTTGCATTTGCAAATACTGAAATACTAGCCCCACGTTGCGGTGAAACGATGGAACTAAGTATCTCTGTCCTTATCGTACACTATCATGCTTTCTTTCTGCGATCAATAGTACTGTCATCTGAACACGTCTTAATTTCAATTGGAATTAAAATGATGAAATGGAAAAAATCGATAGATGGCAGCACATTACCTCTCCCTATAGCGTTTATGATAATTTATATTTGTATCACAATGCTATAAATAAATAAATAAATAACTCCGTAATTGATTTTTGTTGTTTATATAAAAATACCAATATCACANAAATATACAATTACTAATAATTTAATGAAGTTTACATAATAGAATTTAAATGACGAAATGACGAAATAACGAAATAACGAAATAACGAAGGAAGATTTTCTACTATGGCTACAATATATATAAGTGGCAGTAAACATTTCCATGGTAATAATAAAATTAATAGCTATTTTTAAATACTCTATTGTTTATATTAAATATACATCTCGACGGAACATAGATGTCGTTGATCTAAATTCTTCGAAGTAGAGGTCGCTACATCCCGCCGAATAGTTCTCGACAGATCTGAAAGATGACGTTATCATGCTTATTTTGTGCGCACTTTTCAAAAAGAGGGAAATAGCAATGACGCTGAAAAGGAATAGAAGAAAATAAAGTAACGGTAAATATTTTAGAAGTTCAGTTGCAGAAAAGGTCGTTGAAGCAAGGGCTCGGCAAATTATATCATTATGTATAAATTAAATAAATAAAAATTGTTGTGTTGATATTAAAACTCGTAATATTTATTAATTAAAAGGGGTAAACCTCCACATTTGTAGACAAGGAGAACAATAGCGGATAAGGATAGATGTACATTGTGTGTTAGACAAGAAGCGCAGTAATACGCGACAAGGATAAAAATAGCAATTGGTTCCACCGTCTCACTGCTACATGGCGCTAGTATCTCTGTGTCCATGAATCGTGCTAAAAAGTTAGTAAAAAAAATTTGTTAAGCTTAATTCTTGCAGTTTTAATTTGGTTTGTAGATTCTCAGCATTCTTCCCGTAATTCATCTGACCTGCGAAATACTTGTATAAGGATTAAAAATTTTATATTCAACAGATCGAAATATCAGTTCAGCTAGTAGTTACACCTGAAATTTGGAGTGTGACTATTTGAATATGATATCCAGAAGTGCGGTGGATATATATACATTGTATATTACATACATATAATTTATATAATTTATGTATATATATAATATATAGGAAAGTGTTTTGTTTCATTATGTTGTACACATACTTACACTTCGAAAATCACGTGAGCTCGGCCAATGGCTTATTTATTGAAACGATACCCTCTTTGTACTCCGAAATTTTTCAAATCTCTGCTTTCTTTTCCGACTCATAATCAGACGAAACAAAGCAAGATTTTCAATCGAAACGAGGATCGATCGTCACGTTGTTTGGTCTCTCGTGTCATTGGATTTGAAGTTGCGCAAGACGTTCTAAACAAGGACAAAGTTGTCTTGCTCCGTATCTTAGAAAAAGAGAAAGAAAAAGAAAAATAGAATCTCAACTGAATTAAATTATAAACTCGCGAGGAACGACCAAGGCCCCCAAGGATGGATAGCAGCTCTTTGTTTTCTCGATTCTAGTTAACGACGAACGTGAACGAATTGTAAGTAAACGTTAATTTATAAAGCGCATCGATTGATCGATCGATCATGAGCCTTCCTTTGTTTGTAGGTAAATGCTACTTATACGAAACTTGGTTTCCAATGTCGAATGCCAATGTTATCTCTCCAGGTGGGTATATTTTTCACGATACAGAGAGATGGAGGAAAGAAAAGGAAGGGAATGGAGAGAATTTTTCACCGTTTTCAAATGACAAACAGATAGAGATTTCGTATTGTTTGTCTGACCATCTCTCTTTGATCGATAATGAAAGACAGAACGATTCTTAATAATAATAAATATGATTATGGTGATTTTTAATAAACATGATTACAGTGATTTGTAATAAACATGATTACAGTGATTTTCGAATTACGGGGCATCGCTGTTATCACGAGTGGATATACTTTATCAACGCGAGCCTTAATTAACGACATTTCTCAATCTCACTTTGTAAATGTGCGAGCAAGCATTTTTTTTCTCTCTTTTTTTTTTTCGTGTCACATGGAGATTAAAAACGCGCGGTACACACTGGCACTGAAGATCAAGTGCGAGATACGTGCACAGAGTAAATAAGTGCTTACTTCCACGTGCATGTAGGGCATCTTGACCCACTTTCCGGACAGAGAGTCCGTTTCGCTTTCTTCTACGAAACTGAAAGCGATTCTGTCTCCCTTTCATTTTGAAGCGCTCGTTTGCATGCAAACACTCGCGAATAATCGAATTTTAAATGAAAAACGGAGAAGAGAAAGAGAAAGACAGCAAAAAAGGAAAGGAAAGACAAAGAACAAACGAAGAGAGGGGACTTCTTTTCAAGCGTTTCCCTTTTTTTATTTACCGTTTTGCATAAATTAATTCAATCTAAATTTAGTTTGGATACAATCTTCTTCAAGTTTCTTGCAGAACTGATGAAAAGCGAAGATATGTGCGAGATATCCTGCCTGTAGAGATGAAACATTCAACAGCGGATGCAAATAATCACGTTTGACAGCCTTTCATCAGCTTTTTACCAAGTATTAATAATTAATAATTAATAACATGCACTAGCAACATTATTCTTCATCTCTTTTCCTCTTCTTTGATCGTTTTTCTAGGTCTCGTGTGATTTCATATTTCCTGAATATGAAACTACTCCTCTTTCTGCGGTAGCGCGACAAGTATCTGTCACTTTAACGAGGTCTAAAGTCAATCAGTATCGAGTTACACAGTTTTTTGCTCCTCCGAGTCAGAAGAGAAAGAGAGAAAGAGAGGAAGAGATAAGAAATGAAAATGTTCCTCGCATTTTAAATTTATCTCGAACAGAAGAAAAGAAGATGACGATGATGATACGAAAAAATATGAAAAATATCTTCTTTTGATAATGTTTTCAATTAAAAAAACTCTGTATTCGCAGTCGCAGTCGTTTTATCGTTCTGATTTATATCAATGAACGAACGAACACCTGTTTAGCGATAAGTTGATACGATTCGATAAGAACAATACAATCGGATAAAAATAGAGGAGCTGGATAGATGATAGTTAGATCCCTGTTGACAGTTGACCGACAGTTTTCGACTACATCGATTCATCATGGTTCTTCAAACTCGGTTCGTCTTTCTACTTCTGCCGATTCTCTTCACCACTGGCTTTGCGAGCCCTCTCGATGTCGCGTAAGTTTCTATCATTGTTCGTTGACACGTAAGTAAGGATACTTTTAGACGATGCTACTTACTCTGAGAAAGCTACTTTACACGTACTGTTAGAGTATTTACGTCTAATCTATCATTTCGTGATTCAGGGAAGAGAACAACGTCGGATCCAAGAAGGTGTCGGCTAAAATCAACAAGTTGTTCGACATGATGTTGCCCTCGATTCATAACTTTATTCTGAAGCACGGATTGGATCCTATGCAACTGCCGGATTTATCTGAAAAACTGGTAGTTGATCTGAAAACGAGATATCCACTTCGAATTTCAACACTGATCGTTATTTTTTTAATTCTTGTCTGCTACAGGAAGGGGTAATAATTCATGACAGAGTTCTCAACTTGACGAACGGCTGGCTCCAAGGGCTATCGGAAGTGAGACGAGCGAACGATATTATTTTGTCTTATCAAGATAAAGTTGTAACCGTGGATGTAACCTTAATGTTCGACGTTGCTGAAGTAAGAGATTAAAGGGAGCCTCGCCATATGGTCCCGTCTTGTTTTTCGAAAGTAACCGCAGAGAAACGTTTGCTCCTTTCTTTGTCTCAATTTTCCAACAGGCCAGTTACAAATACCTTCTGAAGGACTTGCTGATCTCGAGGAAAGGAGATGTTCATGGTGGTATCAGGAACATGCAACTGCGAATAATCATTGAATTCGATATGAACAGCTACAAACTTGCTCTCCCCATGGTTAAGATCGTTAACGTCGAGTAATTATCATTATCGTTATCGTTCTCATCGTTAAATTTTCATCAACAAGCACGCAATCGATTGATCTCTGCTTTATTTTCAGGAAATTTAACGTCAGTTTCGAGGGCAATATAGACGACCCGTTACTGAACGCTGTGGCCAAAGCTATTACCGACGTATTTCGTGCAAACATTATAAATATAGTGAACCAAGAATTTTCGAAAGAGGTGAAAGTATTAGTTGACGAAATCAATAAAAAGATTCCGCGACCGAACCAACTATTTGACTACAGTAATGTATGGGACTACGTGTAGTAGCTAATTATGACTTTGCCTCGCCTAATATGTAACATTTTGATTGAACAAATGCGTGGAGATTCTTCTTTTCGAATGTAAAAAGATTGAAGATTAATAAAGATTACATCTTTTTTTTCCGATACGTTTTTTTCTATCTGGAAATGCGAAACAGGTGAACTCGAATCAACTTGACTTACCAACAAGTTTATCCGTACACGTACAGAATTAACACTTGACCAAGTGATTGCCCAAAAATATTAACAAATATCTGTTTATCAAGAATATTTTAGGTGCAAATCATTATAATTTAAATGACAGTCGAAATAAGACAGATTTATGTCTAAACAGAAATTAATATTAATTTTGACAAAAATATCCGTATCCTTCAAGTTCCTTGAATCCTATAATTCAAATGAAAGTCTGAAATCTGTCATATCGACTGATTTGATAGTTACATTAGTTAAATTAAAAGTAAAGTTACAACAGTTAAATTAAAATAGTACAATAATAAAATCGTACAATTATATGTATGTAAATTTTATAAAAATATATATATATATATATATATATATATATATATATGTGTGTGTGTGTGTGTGTGTGTGTGTGTGTGTGTGTGTGTGTGTGGGATGGGCAAATTCTGGGAAAGGGCCCAGAATTTTCTCCAGTGCCCGACGATTGCAGATGTCCCAAGTAGTGTAGCATAAACAGTAGAGAAAGTTAGGCCTGGGACTTGGCATTATTTATGGCTAGCCCTCCAGGCCTAGCGCTTAAGACATTAAGGGATGGTGCGTTTGTGTGTATGTGTGTGTGTGAATGACGAATTTTTGTGCAGATGAGGAAGGCAGTGAGTGTCAAGATGTCAGAAAGAGCAGAATGAACGAGCCGTGAAAGAGAGAAGACAGTGAGTTGAAAGTTGCGCGAGAGAGAGAGAGAGAGAGAAGAGAGTGAATTGAGAATTGCGAGCCTAGCGAGTTTATCAATTAAGAAAATAGCGTGAAACGTCATTTATAATCATCATTAAACAAATTTCCTTTATTCAACCTAAAATAAACAACCATTTTTTTTATCAAAATTCCTACAAATTGGGGTCTCAAGCCCAAGGGATTCCTACATATATTGATAAAAATTCTACAATAAATAATATTCCTACGACACCCAGCTGTCGTTTCAAACATCCCGCCAGGAAAGTATTAGGATTTCGATTTGCAGGAAACAATACAGCCTTTTACGTATTTCAACGGACTAAATATCAAGCTCTTCATCGTCCGACGAATCGGACTTGGCGCCAATTTCACATGTGCATGCAATAATTTTACCGTCGTTCTTGCCTTCGTATATACATGTGTACATATTTTACGAAACGACACAATCTCGAATCGAATGAAATCAGAAAGTAGACAGATTCAAAGGTGTCAATCGAGTCTAACGAAGCAGAGTCGAGTTGAGTTGAGTTGAATCGAATCGAATCGAATCGAATGTGGTAAGGACGAGAAGGAGAACCGCGACGACACGAGGTGCCACCGTACGATTACGGAACGGCACTAATGGCAGGATTATCGCAAGGTTGCGGCCTGTGGGCTACCGGTGGCAGTCAGGCAAGCAGACAGGCAGTAGGCAGCAAGCAGCAAGTGACAAGCGGCAAGCGGCAAGCGGCAGGCGTTGCCGGTGAGCAAGAGGCCAAGAGGCGAACGCCGAACGGATCGCTGCAGATCCGAGTGAGGCCGAGTCGGGCCGAGCTGAGACGAGCCGTGCCGACAAGTAACGAACCGAGGGCGCAGGACGCTTGTTTAGTGACAAATACACGCACCGAAACGAGCAACTGTCAAACAGCTTTCCGGGTTGGTCATCGATCAGAAAACGAATCGCCTAGAGAACTGTAATCACAGATACGTACATACACACATATATAACGCGCGGGTCGGCGCATCAACGAACGAAACTTCACTTCGATCTTTTTAGATGCTCGATCCTGCTAGGAGGACTGCAAGAATGACCGTTATTCGAAAGAGGGGAGGAGCACGGTAAGAGCAGCCGAAATGAAACGCGTCAACGAGCGTAGTAGAGCCACGCTGGTACGACGTGTTTCGATCGTACTCGAGTCACGGTGAGAGGACGAAGGGTCCGATTGGGAGAGACTGGTGCGGATATATAACATATAGATTCGAAAGACAGAGTCGAAATCTCTTTCGGTAAATTCGCGAGTGAAGTAGAAACCGGGGCAGGGTAGGACCAGGGTCAGAGTATTGCACGTCGTTAGAGTTTCGAAGTCGAAGGTCAGAAGTCTAGCAACAATCGAGAACGGAGCAATATATACATATACATACTCGTTTGGCAAAAAATAAAGAGAATTGGAGAGAAAAGGAGAGGAAAAAGGTGGAAAGTTTGGTAGCTGTAACGAGCCCTTGGCCCCACTTTTTGAACGTAAACGGTCGTAAAGTTTTGGAAGACGGAGAGAGAGAAAGAAAGAGAAAGAGAGCGAGTCGCCGAGGCAGAGATCGCAAGCGGTGACAAGCGGTGACGAGCGGTGGCGCGCGAAGCGGAGCCGAGTCGGGCCGAGCGGAACCGAGCAGAGCCGAGCGCAAACTCGAGCGAGGCCGAAGCCGAAGCTGAAATCGTAGGCAAAAGCGAAGCAAGATTCGTACTTGGGTTCTCGGCGCGCGGTAGCGCTGGCTAGCGAGCGGATAAGCGGCTGTCCAGGCGGATCGGCGGCGAGTATCGCGAGCGAGTACGTGCGGAGAACGTGCGCGCGCGTACCTACAACAATCATCGACTGGCTGTTCGTTCGTCCGAGTATCTCGCGTGCAAGTATCGAGCTCTCTCTCCGTTTGTCGAGGCGGGTGCGCGTCTTCCCGGCTGAACGCGCGCGTGTACCGGCCGTGTATGGACGGCGGCACGCGTGCACGAGTCGAGGAGGAAAAAGCCCTGGATTCGTCTCGCCTGCGATCCTCCGCTCGGCTCGGCTTCGCGAGTTCCTCCTCGGCCGGCAGCACTCGCATCGCCAGGCGTAAAAGGAAGAAGAGGAGGCGACAGCAGCGACGGAACAGTAACGTCGACGACGAGGACGAGCTCGTCGTCGTCGGTGGCGGTGCCGGTACCGGTGGCGGTTGCGAACTGATCAACACCGTCAGCGAAACCGTCGACACGACGATCCTGGTGGTCAAAGAGGAACAACAGCAGCAGCAGCATCAACAACAACAACAACAACACCACCAACACCAATCAACAGTGGGACAAGCGATATCCAGCGAAGAGTCAACAACCACCAGACAGTCGAAAAATCGACATTCGCACACCAACGAATCTCAACGAAACGCAACTAGAGGAGGAAGCGGCTCGCGCGCGGCTGCCTCCTCCCTCAACTCCGGCAACACGCTTCTCAATCGTCGAGCTGCCGGCAAGCGATCATCCAGGAGATGCAACGCGAACGCGCGTAGGAACGCGATGACGATGGATCTCCAGAGACTGATCACCGAGGTGCACGCCAGGCCCGCGATCTGGGACCAGAAGAACGTCAACTATCACAATCGCGACGTCATCCTAAAGATGTGGCGAGAGATCGCGAGGGCTTGCGAGGTCTCCAGTGAGTATACGCCTCGCTTTCCTCTTCCTTCTTCCCGCTTCCCTCTTTCCTCTTTCCTCCCTCCTACCTCCCTCTCTCTCTCCCCCCTCTTCTTCCTCTTCTCTCTTCTTTCCGTCTCTTCCATTCGCGCCTGCGTCGCGTCGCGTCGCGTCACTTCTCTCTCTCTTTCTCTCTCTCTCTCTCTCTCTCTCGATTCCATCCCTTCCACCTTTTTCTTCTCCCTCCCCCCTCCCCAACCGTCAAACATTTTCATCGTTTTCTTCCCCGCTGTCTTTCCACCAACTACCTTCCCAACGTCTTTATTCGTCGATCGAGCGATCGAACGATCGAACGAGCTCTTTTTCTTTCTCTATATATGCATACGTAACATACCGTATATACATATAAATTCGCGCGCACCATCGCGATCGATACCCAGACGGTTCCAATGAACGTCAATAATGGTAATTTGCGCGACAGCGAGCGAGCGCGGTCCTTGCATAAAATTCGAATTCATCGCGATTAATCACCAGTTCTTTTCTTTTCCTGTCTGTCGTCATATTCGAATTTTTGTTTGTAACAAATCGAACGTCGCGTACGTACCTCTCCATTTGAGAGTTCCTCGCGAGACAGACAGACAGACAGAGAGAGAGTAACTCTCAGAAGCAGTATCCATTTGCGAGAAATACTCTCGAAAGCAACTGGCGACAGTTTCACTCTCAAATGGAGGAGTACCTTTAGAAAAATCTCACGGAGCAAACGAATTGACAGAGATCGATCGTCGTCCTTTCTTTTCCAGCGGACGTCGCAAAGTCAAAGTGGAAGCACCTGCGTGACAATTTCCGCAACGAATTGAAGAAGACCTATCGAGGGAAATGCGACGGCGGCGCGAACGAGCACGACTCGAAATGGGTTTGGTTCAAGAGCCTGTTCTTCCTCCGCGATCAAATGAATTCGAGGGTGATCGGGTGCACGCTTTCGCAGAACTGCTCGGCAGCCCTTCGATCGTCGCCGGAGGAGACGCAGATCGAGCCGCAGATCGACATCCTCGAGGGGCACGAAGAGGCCCAGTTCGACGATCTGGACGGCGATTCTTGCCAGTCTTTGCTCTCGAACGACGACGGCCTCCATCAGGTCATGCCACCGCCCAAGATGAACAAGATCGGTAGGAAGAGAAGTTTGATGGACGCGATGGACAACAGTTACTCGGAGGCCGACCGGAAGAGGTTCGAATGTTTGCAGAAGAGACTGAGGATATCGCAGGAGGAGGAGGAGGACGATACCTATCACTTTCTTATGAGCGTTCGAAATCCATTGAAGAGCTTGCCGCTCGATAGGCAGATGTTTATTAGGTTGAAAATTCAAGAGCTCGTCTACAACGAGATCAACTCGCAAAATCAGCAGAGCCGAACGTACGAGGTCTCGCAGGACGTGAAGCCACCGAGGATAGTGAACGCCGGTGGAGCAGTCGGGGTGGAGGTTGGACTGGGAGGTAGCGTCACTGGTCTCGGCGAATCCGTCACTGCTGCCGATACGAATGGGAGCGGTGATGGTGGTGGCGGTTGTGGTGGTGGCAGTGGTGGTGGTGGTGGTGGTGGTGGTGGTAGTGGTGGTGGTAGTGGTGGTGGTGGTGGTGGTGGTGGTGCTGCTGCTGCTGCTGGCGGTGTTGGGGGTGGATTAGAGGGAGGGCAGACTGTTAACGACATGTCTAACCACCCTGCATCGTTACTTCACAATTGCACGACAGAGGGCTCCAGCGAAGATACCTTCTTTGGTTAATTTAATTTAATATTCTAAGATGTAAGAATCGTAATTTTATCAATAGGAAATAAACGATGGTATTTTTTCAGTAGCCTGGCTATAAATGATTATTTCTACTGCTCGAGTTGTCGAGTTCTCGTTGGAGAAGCTATCCTTTTGTCGATTTGGAATAACGTCCAGAACAATGTTCGGCCAAGATGCCTGCGAGAAATGAACGCGATTCACTTGGTCCGCCATCCTTTTTTCCGTTTCTAGTCAGAATAATTTCTCATCTCTTTATCATTTACCGCTACTATTACTTATCATTCCTAATACTATTACTTATAATTCCTATTACTAATTTTTATTATTACGCGCTAAATTTATTACTGGCACTAGTGACTATACTGATGCTGCTGCTGCTGCTGCTAAAACTACTGCTATCTACTACCACTACTATTGCTTCTACTGTACTACTGCCACCGTTCTTATTATTCCCATTATCCTTATTGAGCCAGTCGTGACACACGGGTCAAACTGGTTATGCGCGTTAACGATGCATTTATTTCGTGCACCGATTGGTGTACACTTCTTCCAAGAATCGCCTCGAGGATACGGTTCGACACTACTTGAAAGCAAGTCGGGCACAAGAAAAAAATGATCCGAGTTTCGCGCGTCAAGATCCAAGCCTTTATTTAAAGTAAATTGAGTTTGATTTCTGTTCGAGTATGTAGATACTATACTACAATCTACCGATCTCATTAATTTAGCCTCGAAACATGTACATATATATATACACAGAGATGGAGCATTACTGTTAACGAGAATACGAAGTAGGTAAGTAAAGAAGTTGATAACGAGGTACTCACGAGCTAATGCCGAGTTGAAGTATTCGATCTCTCCCGTTGGTTGCTTCGTGACTCGACGACCCGTACGATTTCCGACTACTCGAAAATCTTTGCACCGAAATCGCTTGTGACAACTGCTTCGAGATTATTGCGTCTCGTCTCTTTTCCACGGAGACGGAAAGCGAGAGAAACAACCTTTTTCATTTTGCGAGCCTACGTCGTTGATAAAACTTATCGCGGTGGAACTTTCGGTTCTGCAATATCTCTCCTCTCTTTAACGTAGCTTTACTCTCTATTGTCCGCCCTTTACTTCATTGTCTGCCTCCGTATTGTTTCGCATAACTACGACGTACGAGCGACGGGAAGCTTTTTCACCGAGCATCCGAGTTTTCGAATTCTCTCTCGTGTAATTATCGGCAACGTTCTTCGCTCGCAGCCCATCGGTTGGAATTCTCGCGATATTTTCAATTACACCGTTCAACGTTTCCCGGCACTCTGATCCGATTCTCTCTCTTTCTCTCGTTCGTTTTTTCATTTGATTCGTCGCTTGGAAAGGCTACACGAGTTTTACACAGCTCTCTGTACGATACGATCGGAACGAACTGTCAAACGGTGTCGCCACGAACATCGTGGAATATGTGCTCTTTCACAGAGGATGTGCATTGTACGTCTCGCGTGTTATTGATTCGCTCGAGGTCGAGTTTGCACCAGTTGCTCGCGGTTGTTCGCCGTTCAGTCGCGATTATTGGACATCGGAGGAACAAAATCGACTCGCGGGCACGAGCCGGTGCTTTCAATGCGTCCTTTTAATTAAACTAGGTTATTAGGTACAGTTCGCGGAACGTATGGAACGGTCCGATACAGTCCGGTTAGTAGGATTTATTTCAACTCGTTTGCGTCGCGACGAGAAGAGGATAGAGAGGTGAAACTGCTGGCTTTGGCCCTGTCCATCGCTTCCTAACGAGCAAAAAACGATCGGATGAAAGAGTCCAATTGCTAGGCTCGTGCCCTGCCCCCTACGTCTCGATGTTGCCCTCCATGGGAATCTCGCGAAATAACGAGGTAACTTTTACGTCCGGATAGAAAAGTCACGTCGTCTAGACGGGATACGCTATATTTGCACGGTATATTGCACCGGTTGAATAGCTTATTCGCGAAGTCTGCTCTGGCTCGTAGTCTGCTCCGGCGGACCACTCGGTTTTTCCATACAAAGAGGATTAGCATCGTTCTCTTTGTCTTTTGCTTTACTCTCCGTTCTCTCTCTCTCTCTCTCTTGTACTCGTCGTGTGCATAGTTTCGCTTCTTTTTCACTTTTCAGCTTCCTCTTTGCCAAACAAAGCATAGAAAATTCCTTCTCCGTATGGAGAACGTGCACATCCTGCGATACACGTACCAACCACTCGAACCAATGTTTTTTTTTTCCATTTCCATTTTTTTTTTTTTTTTTTGCGTCGCGATGGCCAAAGAGTTAGAAGCTGCGAACACTTTTCGAAACTCTTCGATCTTCAAAACTGATGGTGGATCTAATTATGAAAAACAGAAAACTTCTTTTTAACGTTCTTACACGACGCGTTTGAATTTTTTCAATTTTCCAATCTCTTCATCCGGACGTGTAACGTAAAGGGGAATTTTTGAAAAAAGAGGCTGTTGAGGTAGAAGAAGCTCTACGCTTTAAAATGAGATCAAGCTATATATGATTCTTTCGCAAGTTGCATCAGTTAAATCAGTTTCAATTATCAGATAATTTTTCATCATTTCGTTCACAGTTATGCTCTTCACCATATGTCCATCTACACATTAGAAAAACAATATACTATATATTGAATTGGTTAAAAAATAATTATTTTAATACTAATACTTCTAATTCAATATATTAGAGGTTCATATATTGAATTGGTTAACAAGTAATTCTAACATGTAGATGGAGATACAGCGAAGAAAGTAACTGTGTACCCACAAGTAGCACCGTTTTTTGATATTGCGTAAAATTTTATTTATACTTGAATTTTATTTGATACCGTATCCATAAGTAGCGTCGTTTTTTGATGTTGTATAAAATTTCATTTCATTTAAATTATTGTCACTAGATGGCAATGTTTATTAAATTTGAAAAAGAACGACGTTACTTATGGATACCCTAGTATATCACTAGTATATATATATATATACACATATGTTCGGCCAGGTCAGCTAGGTCCTGTTTCTCTCGACCTGGCCCAGCCCAGTCCAACACTTTCAGGCCACACTCTCGGAATGAACGTACGAAAGCGACCGAGTGGAAGCCTACTGCCAGTGAAACGAGCCAGCAACGCAATGTAACGCAACGCAACGCAACGCAACGGTGTCAGTCGTAGTCGTAGTCGTAGTCGTAGTCGTAGTCGTCGTCTCTTGCCAGTTTGACTTTAGCTAGCGTTCGAATCGGTGCAAATCCACCGATGCAATTCCTTCGTACGCGTGATGCCACTCGTTTCCAAACTCGACCTCGAAGGATACGTCGCCGCCGCGAGCTAGTCGATCAAAAAAGTCGACGCGTGTGCACTCCAGCTCCGATTGGCAGATTCCGTGGCGTGTCGCGACCATAAAGATCGATCTAGCATGATTTTGCGACGAAATGAAAAAATGACGAGCTCACCGATAATTCGAAGTAAGTAGCAACGAACAAATCAGGTTGGCCAGAAGGCAACTGCGTTTCTTCCTGTGTAAATAAAAGGCGAATTTTCAATGAGAAACAAAAGCTTCATTTCGTTCGATTACCTTTGGTCATCTTTCAACTTGCAACTTTGTGATTCCATGTTCCAAAAAAGATTTCTTGTCTTTTTCGGTAAAAAAAAAAAAAGTTCCAAGATCCGATGTGTCCTTACCAGTAGTGAAATTTGGCAATTTCCAATTCTGACACACGGTTTCAAGAGTCTTTGTCACCATTTTTTGCGAACGTCTTCTTTTCTGCTTTCGCATTTTGAAATCCGACACCAAAACAAACAACTGTCAACGAGATCGCGTCATTTCTCTTTTCCAAACAAGCTCGAACGATCAAGTATCCGATTACACAATGAGTTCGCGGTTTCAAATGAAGTTGGTTACACGTGTGTGTCCATCTATCAGAAAAAGACGCAATTACTTTTTAGCCAATCCGATACATACGTGCAATTTTGGTTTATTTTCAACGTTGATTAATTCGAGGTTACGAGTCGTCTCACCTCACGTTACGTATGATATAGCGGTTATGAAAATTTTGGATATATTTGCGTTTTGAGGGAATCATCAATGTTAAGAGTATAGGTTAGCCACCAGCCTATTTAAATCGTACGACGCTTTCGATTTCGTTCTTGTCCGCTGTCTGCGAGCGAAAGTACGCTTTTCGCAACTCTGAACGTCGCGCCTTTCGCTTCTTGCAAAAGTATCATTTCGCTCTCTTCTCGTCATTCCGTTTCTCCGCTCCTTCTCGTTTCACTCGTTACTACTCTCTTCATCCTTGTGTCTTAATTTTTTCTTTGAAACACGACTTGTAAAACGCACGCGTTAAGCGAGAATTCCCCGAGCGTAAAGTAGAAATTGTCCCATACGATCTACAGTTTGATGATTAAGAAACGATAAGAACAAATAAACAAATAAGCAACGACCAACGTTGCACAACGAGGCGAAGAATCGAATGGCAAACGAACTAAGGGGATTGCTCTAACCTCTTGCGCTGGAACGACGTGCCACGTACGTCGAGAATTTTTTTGTCCCAAAATTGCAAGTATTTTCTCAGTTTTAAGTACATTTAAGTAATAATCCAGGCAAAACAAATAATAAATTTATTACTTTTCAATCATTTCTATCCAGTGACACCACCGACGAGTTGAGAAAGGAAAGCGACGAATTATTGTACAATTGACGGTTTTGGTCACTCGTTATGGTCCGCGATCAGTTGCCAGGCGCAAGTGGCAGAATGGCGCGGAAATTTGTACATACATATTCAGACAGCGGCGGCGCTATCGTCTCCCGAGCAATCCGAGTTTCACAATTTCGACTTTCCAAGGGTGTCCACCTCCGATTCCGGTGGAAACTGAAACTAATTTTCGCGTGAGTGCGCGTTACATGTTTTGCACATGCGCGCCCGCTAGTTTCGCGACGGGATGGATTTTTATTTTCACCGGTAGAGGATCGCGAAACTGCAAGGCAAACGAGCAGGGGAGATCGTCTGGAGACTCGCGGAGCTCGGTGAACTTTTCGCCGACAATTAACCCGCATGTATACAAAGCACTAGGAACGCGAGTGGTATACGTCGAGGCGTGGCGGTGCATAAACTGTCGCACTCGACCAGTTCGTGAAACGTGTTTGCGCGGTCACGTTGGCAACACTAGCGGGAAATAGCTTTCATTGGACGCAGACGGAGAGCCATCGGGCTCGGTCCTTCGTCTTGCCCCGCGACACCTCGACCGTGCTCACAGCTCTCGTCGCGTTTCGCGTTTGCGCAAACCTTCTCGAACCTGGCCAAACGCGTACCGTTTCAAGCGCAGCGAGAACTGTGCGACTTCTCACCTTTCTCTCTCTCTCTCTTTCTCTCTCTTTCTCCTCTGATTCTATTAATTTTGCCGATTTTGTCGGAGAGAGATGAAAGTTTGTTCGCGATCGTGAGAACATCACGCGTGGTTACGATTTTGTCAACGACTGTCCTCTAGTTGCAGCAAACTGCAAACACTGCTTGCGCGCACTGGTTTCCAGTCGAATCGTGCACTTCGATCGAAACCTTCTGCTTGTCACTGCTTCTCTCTCTTTCTCTCTCTCTCTCTCTCTCTGTCTCTCCTTCTCAAAGAGTTAACTTTTAAAGGAAAATTTAACGCACAACGTAACTCAAAATAGAAGAGGGGAAGAGCGGGGCTGTTCGATCGAAAACAAAAACGTGAGTCACTGTGAGAAAAAAGAAAAGCAAAAAAAAAAAAAAAAGGAAAAACGTGGTGTAGTGTAGAAGGTGGTACAAGGCCGTTTGCACAAGCGCGAACAAACGCCTGTCGATCGCTGGAAGGAGGAAGATATCTGGTAGTTTGAGCAAACGCGTCGATTCGTGTTTTCTGTCGGCAGGCGTGTACATACGGCAGGCGTGTACACGATCTCGACGTCTGACGGACCCGGCGATCGCCTCGGTCCGAGAAGCGGCTTGTTGACTCGTGTGGGCTGGTCTGGTGGCCCCTCAGTCGAACGTCGAGCGCGGTCATCCACGCTACGTTTATCCTACATACTTCTGTTTGTGTTTCGTCGTTCGATCGCAAGTCGCCGACGTGTGGCCTCGCCTGCGTGGCCAGATACAAACGCGTACCGCGTCTCACGCCCATGTGCGAGAGCACGCCATTTCCCAAGTGCGTGAACCGCGATCGAAAGGCCGACGATCGATTTTTTCCCCCATTTCTCGTCGATCGGCCGTCGAGCAACATGTCGACGTCGGACTTGGTCGGATACTCGCACGACTTCCTCGCCGAATTCATTCACCTGTACCGCAGCTTCCCCTGCCTGTGGCAGGTGAGGTACAAGGGTTACAAGGACAGGCTGCTGCGGAATCGCGCCTACGACGCCCTTGTGCAGAAACTGAGGGAGGTGAACCCGGTGGCGGACAGGGAGACCGTCATACGAAAGATCAACACGCTGAGGACCGCGTTCAGGCGGGAGTACAAGAAGGTGCGAAGCTCGCAGAAGATGGTGCACAATCCGCGGCAACGTTACAGATCCTCGTTGTGGTACTACGATATATTGAAGTTTGTCGCCGAGCAGAACGAGGCTGGTCCACTGGACGAAGAGAGGGACGTCAAGAACGCTTTGGCTCATCCAACGGACCTCTCTCAGGAGGAGATGATGGTACGACATCGTTCTCAATTTTTTTGTTCCCTTTCTCTTTGCCTCCTCCTTTTTTTACTCCCCTTTCTTTTCTCTATATTTGTCATTTCTACGCTTTGCAGTCTGTGCAGTCTGTGCAGTCTGTTTCCTGATCTTTAAAACGTTCGCGCAAGCGAACAAAGAAGCATTTCATTTTGTAGCTCGTCGCGATACGCCACGAACGTACGTTACATGCATACGGCAAAGAGTGCGTCGGGAAGATGGAGATACTTCGCGAGAAATACATCTTTTCGATATCGGTATCAAGCCTGTCTCGATATCTTCCTTGCCTTATTCCGTCGTTTCTCTCTCTCTCTCTCTCTCTCTCTCTCTCTCTCAACGAGTTGTTCTATTTCTCTTCCTCTCAACGAGACTTTATCGATCGGAAAACTCGACGAGCGCTACGGCGCCCAGGGAATCACGCTCTGACGAAAAAAGAAAGTCGAAACGTTAGTTCGTTTGACATCACATTCACGTTTTGGCGAGCAAATTCGCGGTACGGATTCGCGTCAGTCGGAAATTGGAAAGGCTCGTTTTTTACCGGCGAGTGCGAGTCTCTTAGCGCGAGTGAGCAAACTCGTCGAGACGCGACGCGACGCGACGCGATTACGCGCGATGTACGACTGTGACGCGATATCGTGCGATAAGATGGAACTCAACAACGCGACGCGACTCGTCGAGTCGAGTCGAATGTTTCCGCTCGGACGTTAGATCGTGTTTCTCACACGCGCGCGCGTGCACGTACATCATACACGTCGCCGTCGTATCGACATCATTGAATTACAGTTGGCAACGTCACACTGTGTTTTCTAGTCTGTGCAAACGGACGTAGACAAGATCGAGCCACCGTCACCAGCCCCGTCACCGGCGGCTAGCTCCGCTCCTGCGTTCCAACCGATCATCCTGGAAACCGAGGGCTCGTACGTCAGAAGGATTTCCAACAGCGCGTCGGCCGAGCCTCTCGTCCGAAGAAAGTGTCACCAGCAACAGGAAAGCTTCCCGGATCGTCAGCCGAAGGACTCGCCGTGCGAACTGTCGCCGAGACAGTTCGCCAGCTGCGTGACCGACGATCACTTCGAGACGTTCGGTCGTTACGTCGCGGGCAAATTGAAGAAGTCGATGCCCCGGCAGAGCATCATCGCCGAGAAGGTGATCGCTGAGGTCCTCTCGAGGGCCAACCTCGGCACCTTGGAAGAGACCACCAGCCTCACGGAGAAAGTACCGTCCCGCTGTTTCTTGGTGATGGGCGATCGTTGAACGTGCCACCGATCCATCGTCAATTCCCTTGGCGTTGATTTTCTTATCCGTCTACTCGCGTTCGCGATTCAAACTGTCTCTGATTGTCAGTGTACAGACAGGGTGGAAAGGAAAGTTTCTACCCGTAGGCGTGGAATTGAATTTCACGGTCGAAAGATTTTTTCTTTCTTTTGCATTGTAGTCTACTCATCGCGAAGGTAAAACTGTCCCAAAGTTGATAAAGAAAAGTTTCTTCATCTTGATTAATTTAGACGCGTGCGTTCTAACAGCGACTTAATAGTGTCTAGGTTCTAGACTAGCGTAGATGTAGCCTTTATGTTTCGAATCATGTCGACGGTTTTATCATTCGATTATTATATAGACTCTGCGCTACAACTATGATAAATCAAATGTTAGCGAACCGTAATACGAAAATTCACGCGTTCAGAGGAACCATAAGGTCGCTGTTAGCACGCGCGCGTCCGCCGTTGTAAATGATTAAGAAACTTCTTTTGGCCATTTTTCAAAAGAATTGTTTGGTTACAACTTGTGGAAAAATTTTTTACCTTCGAGACCAAGGTCAAGGTTTTGCGTGTGTTTCCATCAAATCGAAGGTGCAGAATTCATCCATGATAGCTACGGACAAACTTTTCTTTCCACCCTGTGCATTGTACATCTACCGTCTACCAGCCAAGATTGCCACATTAAATTATGGACAAATATCGAAACCAGCTTTTCCTTTTCTCGATATACACGTACAAAAGCACTACGATACTTACTATACGAATAAATCAGCCTCTTTGTTCCCCTTCTGCTTTCCAATTTCAATGGATCGGAGCGAACAACCGACCGTTCCTCCGTAAACAAGAACAAACCGAGTGATTCCACGATTTTTCGTAGCGTAGCCACTCCACGCCTTAATTACGGTTTGTTCTATTCACGTTTTTTTTTTCTTTTTTTTTTTTTTTGTTAGCGTCAATTTTTAGTACAAACACCGAAACTTTTTTTTTGTTATCCAACTTTGCCTCGAATTGCACCAAACTTTACCAATTAAAAGCTCGCGCGTAATCGGTTGGACGGGTGCGTGACTAACTAAACGAGATATCATCGCAAGCAGTTTAAAAAAAAAAACTAGCGTTTGTTTCGTCCTTTCTTTCTTTCTTTCAATGTACCGCGTTGTTCGTAACTAAAATGAAAAATCGGCAAGGGACGAGGTGGCGTTGGACTGATACTCCAATGTGTTCTGCACGCGTCGATTCGAATCCCACTCCCCGTCCTCGTCGGAGTTTATGGATTTCTTTGTCCACCGTTTCTTCTTCCTTTTCCTCGTCCGTCGTTTCTCTGCAGCTTTTCTACATGAAAATTCTAACACACGCGCGTACACGCATTTATAGAGTCTGTGCCTGTCGTCTCTCGCCGTTATCGATACATTTGTCACAATAAATTACAATGAAACACGCGCGTTATCCATGTACGTGCATAGCGCATAGAAGATAACGGGCCATGAATGTTAAAATATATATATAACCGCATATATTAAAGCTCACGTGCGTTTTTTCTGCATGCATTTCTGCGACTGTTCGGAGGCAGATAGCTTAGCATAACCGTTATTTGGCTTTGATTTATGACTTAAGCTCGGGCCTCGGCGCGTCCCTCCGCTCGAAAAGCAATTACCGGTGGCTATAAGTCGTGTAACGGTGTATCGAGCAACAATGAACGAATTGTCTGAAATTTACAGTTTACAGAGGATGCCTATGAGCAATATGTCAATTGGGCAAGCGACTTGCCTCGTCTTCGAAAAAGGCAAGACGAATCCTCCGCACGTGATCGATGCTGCGTTCGCAGTTATTAGCTGCCATTTATTGTCGACGTTCAGCAACAAATTTACCGAGGCCGGAAATTTGTTCACCTTTTCCAACTCTAAACGCTCTTACGACTCTCACTCTACATTGTATTAAATTTCATTGCGTTTATTGTAAGAGGACTACGACGACATGCAGAGAGAATCAACAAAATTGCACGCGTTTCCGAGACTGCTATACGTTCGAGGAATATCGAAATATACGTCGTGTTTTAAGCGACACGCTTTAACTTCCGCTTTTTTTCTCGGACCTTATCCTTAGAAAGCCTCGTAAAACACGGAAATTGCACTAAAAGTTTCACGCGTTTACGCCGCGTCTCTCCTGACATAAATCGAGAAATTCCGAGAAGGTTTTTAGCCGGGAGAGCGAGATACACGTACATAAATATGAGTTACCGTCGGTGCTTCGTCTCGTCTCGAATAAACGATTAAAAAACTTGAAGAATCTGCGCAAGTTATCTGGTAACTTGGACAGTGTTATTACTGGCTTTCCCTGCAAAACCGAGTATCGTTTTACAGCGTCGCAACTCACGGTTGTAATTCCATTTTATCGCGCAAGTATGGTTAAAACGCACGTTGCCTCCTTGTTGCATCGAGTATCGTGTCCTTTTGCTTGCAAGTTGAAAAGTGATGAAGCACGAGAGAGTATACAGGAAAAAAAAAGAGAGGTCGCTTTCATTTCAATTTCCGATCCTCACGATCCGTAGATTTGTATCGAAAATTTCTCGAACGAAGCGACGAAATATTATACGTTTTCATCTGTTTGGTACGATGATCAGTGTTGGAAGGAGAGCCTGTTCAAAAGAGGCAAAGACGACAAAATAAATTCTCCCCCGCCCCCGGGTGGGCTCGAACCACCAACCTTTCGGTTAACAGCCGAACGCGCTAGCCGATTGCGCCACGGAGGCACTACGACTAGTCGTTTTTTACGTACATAAATATTTCGCATACTCTTGATATTGACCCTATCAAACTGTGTAAACAGCGAAAGTGATAACGACGAATATGACATCGAAATTCACGCAACAGTAAGAAATGAGCGCACAACGAATAGAATAGGAAAGAAGAGAATAGAAGAAAGATCGGTTGATCAACACTGGAATTATCAAAATGGTCAAAATGACCAATTGATAATTTTTATCAGATACTTTATAACAAGCGTGTCCGCGCTGTATAATCGAAATTGGCGTAATTAAGCAAGAATTCTATTATTTGAATAATTTTAACCATGAACGTTCATTTTGGAAAGTCCCTTATATTTGCGAACAGAATTTCTTCCATACGAAGCGCGCGATAAATAAAATAAGAAGAAAAATTTTGAACGAGTATCTTGCAAATACTCTGTATCAAACCAGATATTGATCTGAACTGGTATCTAAAAAGCAAGCTTCAGTGTTCTCATTAAAAATTTTCATATTTTTTTAATTAATATATATATATACTTTTCTGATCAATATATCGCTTCGCTATAAAAGTTGTTTTAATATCCTCGTAGTGATAATATAGGTTACACTGAACTAATAAAAAAAAAAAATGCAAACCATGCGCAGCATAAATCCTTGTGAAATTTTTGTTGGCCAATGAAACCCAGAAGATCTGCAAATGGTTCGACATTTTTTATTCGTTGTAAAGATTTTACTTTAGCGTCTCTGATGGAAATTTTATGCTTCAGTCGTCTGTAATGTTAAGCATTTCTTTTTGTAAATAACATATATATATATATATATATATACAATTATGCATTTGTACAATTCCGACATTTATTCAAAATTCGTTCGATAGGTCGCATAAAGCCCAATTAACTTCCGTTTTACTTTTCCCTTGAGTGATTTAATTTTCTTTGAGTAATTTAACTTTCTCTCTGCAGTTTCCTGGGATGACGTGTCCCTAAAACCTGCATTTAACATGAAGAAGATCATAAATTACTATTTGCTTGTTTGATTTTGTGTGTGTGTGTGTGTGGTGCGTGTAGGTGTGAATTGCAAGAGACTTCCGTTTTTACCTCCGAGTGTCATTTATAATATTTAGGTAGCACCCTTATTCTCTTCCCAATTCTATAGGTTCTAAAAGGTCTGAGCATCCTTTCTACCTGTTTTATGTTTCTCCTTTAACCTCTTGCGCTGGCAACTAGTTTACGGACCATAACGAGTGACCGAACCGTATACAATAATTTGTCGTTTTCTTTTTGAACTCGTCGATATGATATCGCTGGATAGAAATTATTCAGAAGTAATAAATTTATTATTTGTTTTGCCTGGATTATACTTAAATATACTTAAAACTGAGAAATATTATTGCAGTTTTGTGACAAAAAATTTTCGACGTGCGTGGTACGTACGTCGTTCCAGCTCAAGAGGTTAATCACTTGCGCTGACAACTGATTGCGGACCATAACGAGTGACCAAACCGTATATAATAATTCGTCGCTTTCTTTTTGAACTCGTCGATATGATATCGCTGGATAGAAATTATTTAGAAGTAATAAATTTATTATTTGTTTTGTCTATTTTGTTTCACTTAAATATACTTAAAACTGCGAAAATATTACAATTTGGGGACTGAAAATACTCGACGTGCGTGGCACGTCATTCCAGCACAAGAGGTTAACCATTTGCTCTGGCAACTGATTGCGGACCATAACGAGTGACCAAACCGTGCACAATAATTCGTCGCTTTCTTTTTGAACTCGTCGATATGATATCGCTGGATAGAAATTATTGAAAAGTAATAAATTTATTATTTGTTGTGCCTAGGTTATAATTAGACATACTTAAAACTGAGAAAATATTACAATTTTGAAACAAAAAAACTCTCGACGTGCGTGGCATGTCATTCCAGCGCAAGAGGTTAACCATTTACGTTGACAACTGATTGCGGACCATAACGAGTGACCAAACCGTATACAATAATTCGTCGCTTTCTTTTTTTTTTTTTTTTTTGAACTCGTCGATATGATCTTACTGGATAGAAATTATTGAGAAGTAATAAATTTATTGTTTGTTGTACCTATTTTATTTCACTTAAATATAACTTGAAACTGAGAAAATATTACAATTTTGGGATAAAAAAATTTTTTGACGTGCGTGACACGTCATTCAAGCGCAAGAGGTTAATGCGAATTTCATTGTAGTGCCGACTTTCTTTACATTTTCGTGCTCCGTCTAATTGGACGATACTCGATGCTCGAGCGTAAGAAACGAGCAACTTGAATTCGGGCGTGGTGTGTGCATGCATCTGAAGTCCGTGCACGTAAGTAGGCGCGTACTTATGTTGGCGGAGCCCCTGCTCCCGGGGGTTGAATCTCACGGTGAATTAGGTCGACGCGCGCTGCTCGTTTAAACGTGTACGAGTGGTTGTGCGAACGAACGGCGCGCTCGCTTATGTTGGCCAAAAGCGAGGTATGCGGAAGGAAAGTCATACGCGCGATCGCTCCGAGGAGGAAGGAACAATCGCGGCTTGGGTGTTTCGCGAACGAGTTCCCGAGGGTGTTGCCAGAACGACGAAGGGTGTTTACGAAAGATTCGTTGAAAACGCAACGAACAGAAAGACTCCCGCACAAAAGACTCGTTATCCTTTCCCGTTAGTTTCGGCGGCGGGTCGTGCCTGAACGGAACACCGGTTGATCGTTTTTAGTTAAACTCTCGGGAAAGGTTCAAAGCAAGCGTATTAGCCACTCGACCAGGGGGGGTCTCGTTAACCATCGTAGCCCCATAGCGTATTCCGTGCATTTTATGTAGGTACGTAGGTACACTCTACACCCTTGTTCGGCTTTCTTTCTCTGTTTTGCATCGCCATTTACTCCTACCGATCCAACCGGTCTTTGAACGACGAAAGAAAGGGGGGGGGGGGGAAATGAGAAGGAAGATACACCGACGAGACAGAGGCGAGTCAATCGGCCGTGAAACGCGGCAAATTCTTTTCAAGTGCCGCTATCGAAACACGATGTTCTTTCTTTCTATTCGGCCGTGTGACCAAAGGAACAAACGATCCGGCGACCGATACGATAACAATAACGGTTAACAAACGTGGAACGATTTCATTTTCGCGCGATCGTTCAAGAATTGTTTCTACCGAATCTGTTCTACCGCGGCACTCCCCGTGGCATCTCCTCTTCTCCTTCATCGCTTCTACTTTTGTTTCTCTTTCTATTATCCTCCGTCGTCGCGGAGAAAAAAAACATATCGTTGGTGTCAAGCTGTCTGGATTCTTCTAGCCAGAGACTTCAGACGAGATATCGAGTCGCGGAAAAGGTGACGCTTGTTAATCGTCGATGGACAACACGACTGTCGGAACCGGCTGAAAAGGGAAACGATCCTCGAACGAGACAAGATCGATATTTATCTTGGCAGAGATCCAGATTCCGAAACGATGCCAACTCGGGAAACGGATAATATCGCATTCCCTCGGGTAAGATGCCTACGTAATTATCGTCCCGACGAATTCCCGTTTGTAGTTTGTGCCCCCAATTTTCTCTTTCACCACTGTCGAGAGATTAAAAAGAGAGAGCAAGCGCCAGAGAAAGAGAGAGAGAGAGAGAGAGAGAGAGAGAGAGAGAGAGAGAAATGAAGAATAGGGTGTGGAGTATAATTGACACGAGGCGACATTCCGAGATTCGGCTTCGAAGGCAGATACGTGGTACATAGTATGCATTCGGATTTGGCCGAATGGAAAAGTCGAGCACGTAAAACGCGAGGAAGCTAGCAGCAATGTATTCGGCCGTGAGCAATCGATAATCTTTCGTTTTGTTCGCGACGCAGCCCCGAAAGGTATTCATTTGGAAGTATAAAAGCCCAAGGTTTCGATGCTTTCGCGAGTCGAATCGTCGAAAGCCAAGAGCAACGAACAAAAGATTGATACAAAGTCGATGTAAAGCTCGCTAAACGATCACCGGAGGGGGTTTTTCATCTTGGTATTCTTACCACCTTCTCTCCCTTCGATGACTCGAGTTGAACCTGCTTCCTTTTCGCATTAATTGAGAAAACAACGACGAACGCGAAACGTACGGTTATGGTACGTCGAGTGGCCATTCGTCGACCCAATCTCGGGGAAATACACTAAAAAGAAAATACAGGCTACGATGGAAAACGAGACGGTTGCGCGTCTTTTCTATGTAAGGTAATGCTCTCGACGAGAGAGGAAGGGAGGCAGAAATACTCCAAAGTCCCCTCGATTGGATCTGGCTACCCTACCGGTTGTCGAAGGGTGTCGTCGTCTCGTTTAGTCACCCTTATGCACAGGGACGTAACGTTCGTCACTCGCTGGCCACGACAATGGCCAATATAATAATGGAACACGGATTTAGGAAGATCGTGCACGTTTTTCTAGTCGATCGTTCGCGTTTTCTCTTCGCGAGGGGATAACATATGCTGAGACGATACGAGAAAAACGATGACCGAGACGAGCGAGATATCGGAGTTGTCTCGAATTTCTGTTGGCTCTCGACAATGGCAGAGAGCAGCGGTAAGAATTAGGCTCGGTTTCTGTCTGTTTCTCCGAGAGAGCAAGAAGAGTGTACAAAATCAGGTAGGATTCCAAAGACGGCACGCTCTTTCTCTCGCTCTGTCTCTTTCCCTCTGATTCGTGTCGATATTCCGAGTGAGGCTCGGCGGGATGGCTCGTATCGACGGGGAAAGAGCCGAGAGAAAGACGAGAGGAGACGAGAACCGGAGAGAGCCGACAGAGAGAGAGAGAGAGAGAGAGAGAGAGAGAGAGAGAGAGAGAGAGGAAAACTGTCGGTGTCAGGTGGAAGGGAGTGCACCCCGTTCGAGTACGGCCCTGCAACGTGCCCCCCGCCCAGTAAGGGTGCGTAGACGGCGGCGCTCAGTCTCATCAGAACGGCCGAGCAAGCAGCAAGGTCCGTTCTGCCAGTATCAGAGTATCGCGTGCCGGCCGCACTGCGGCCGTGCCTTTTTTCCTCTCCTCCGACCGGGGTCCACGCGCAACACCGGAATATCTGATCGAACATCGATATTCCTCTCTCGTGTGCTTCGCTCTCTTTCTCTTTCGAACGCGTGACGTGTGGTGGAGAAGACGTTCGGACCACAGGGATTTTCCTCGATTTATCGTCAGGATCTCGACATTTCAAGCACGAGAGAAGAGATCACCGTGACCGATGGAGGATGACGTTCGATGGAAAACGAGGTAAACCGATAACAATCTTAGTCACTTTGTTCGTCTCATCCTTTCAGCCTATCTCGCTGTTCGGCCAATCGACAAAACGGTTTTCCCTCGGCATTTTGTCGCTCTGTTGTCGCACATATGTGTCGGATCTTCCTCCTAGATTCCCCGTGCAATTCGTTCTGGCGAAATTCCACCTGCTCACGCGAGTAACAAACAGCAGTCTCTCATTACCGATACGATACGATCGTTTATCGATTCGTATCGCGCGAACGCGGCGAGTAGAAACGACGCGAGCGTAGGTGGAAAGACCGTGGAGCTACTAGGGATAGGCCAAAGACGGTGGCTGATTGCAGCGCGATGCGTCGACGCGTAAAAATTATTATGGTTTTTTTTGAGGGGGGTTTTTCTTCTTGCAAGGAGAGAAAACACGCGAAATGTCGCGTCGTCTGAAATTGAACCGAATCGAACGAAACGAACGGTACAGACGACTCGAATCCGGTTCTCGGTAATCGATGTTTATCAAACTTGCTTTTGCAAAGTCTGGCGATTGCAATTCGATCGTGGTCGTCGACCACGCGAGCCATTATCGTTACATAACCTAACATTCGGACGTTCCTCCCGATAACCGACACACCAACTCGCCTAAAATCCTACTATGTATATCTATCGGGGAAAGCGAAAGCGAGGCAAAAAGTAGAAGATAGATTTCGTTTAGATTTCCTAAAGAACAGAGCAATGGGTAGAGAGGACAGGCATTCTCTGTGAAATTGCTTTCGTTCCCTCCCCTTTTTCTTTCTCCTCTCTTCTCCTCTCCTCTCCTTTATGTCGTTTTAGCAGCAGCTCCGCTAAAACGTTTTGCTCAATATCGTTTTATTCGTTTCGCGTTTCTGCAGATACGAGTCGAATTTTCCGCGAAACGTTCTCGCGCATAAACATAAAGAGGGGAGAGAAAGAGACACAGAGACAGAGAGAGAGAGAGTTTCCATTATCGGGAACAAGACGAGATTCAAGGGACATTTAACGTTGCAGGGTAGAATAATATCTCCCGCGAGAACAACGCGTTTCATCGAGTGATACCGGAAACGTGAGCCGACGCGCGATATCGTATGTTCCTGGAAAACTCGCGTGCAACGTCGAGGAGAAAGAAAGAGGAAAGAAGTGAGTGTTGAAATGTGATACTAATCACGACATCTGTTAATTGTAGTGGCAACTTTGTCACTAAGTATTTGGGGTATTTATGTGTCCTTAACTAACCTAAACTTAACCTCAACGGTCGGAATTCATTCGTTTTTCGTAAGTCTTGGCGTGCTATTATCCTACACTGTATTGTCTTGAAGAATAAAGTGTCTTGTTAAAACTAGTCTCCACGTACGTTTAAATATTCCAAGAGTGAGAACGAGAACACTTATCAGTATCCGAATATTGCTGTAAACTTTTTCTTTTACAAAGTAAAAAAAGTCGTCAGTCAAAATTGATTCGCTCGTGGAAGAATGTTGCCGAGCAGAAACAAAACGAAACAAGAGAAACGAGCGCGAGTGAGATGAAAAGCTGTTCCAACGCGAATGCAAATAGGATTGCGAAACATTGTCGCGTCGCGTCGATTCTACATTTTTACTCGCGATGCTAATCTGGCCAACTGGTAGCGAACACTCGCGTAACGCCATCGAGTAAGCGAATGGACGGATGGATTATGTTTTGGTGACGAGGATTCCGGCAGAGGGTTGTTGGTTTGAATTAGCCATTCCAACAAAGGGGGTGCACCGGAGCCTAAAGGGAGGACGCCTCTCGTTATTTCCCTTGGCTCCTATCCCGATTAACGTGTATCGTTTAAATTTAACAACGAGTCAGAAGACACGCGTGCTTGAGCTATACGATGGATTTCTCTCTCTCTCTCTCTCTCTCTCTCTCTCTGTACGATCGATTGAGGAAAGTCAATTTCTTGCAAAATAAGTGGAAGAAAGCCGGGCAAGGTCGGGATTCGAAGAATTCGAATGACAGAGCGACTAGGTACTCACCGTCGTAGGTGAGTACGCGTTGGCCAGCCGCCAGCCGGCCGCGCCGAGCCGTCAATCGTTCCAAAGCGTTCCACGTGTAACGTCTTTCTCAAGGTGTGTACACAGTTTGCGTTTGTCGCGTTCCTGGGAGTGATACGGTCACTCAAGCATGTCGGATTAGTCGCGATGATTTTACAATGTTCGAACGGTGTAGCTAGATGTACGTACGTCGTGTGATACAACCCGTATGAGATACCCTAGTCGAGAGACTAAGGCGTAAAGATCGTTCAACTACATAATTGTAAGACGCGGCAAGAGAACAAGTGGTTCGAGCCAAGGACCGTAGAGAACGTAGTCGCGAATGCCAACACGCGCGTGAATCGTTGATTCAACGCTGGTTGCTGGGAACTAGCATTTATACACGCGCGACGTACAAATGGGGTGCAATTTAGCGAAGCCCGATTTCTGGCAATGCGAAGGAGCACGATCGACCGACACGGGAGAGAAGAAGACGGCGAATCGATTCGCGTGGCCAACGAGCAAACCGTATGGGCATTCGAGCTGCGAAATCGCGGCGACCGATTTCTTTCGTTCATGCTATTGAAGGACAAGATAAATATACGCAGGGATTTGTGTACTCACGGAATATTATAATTGCTCTTTATTTTACTTTGCACCGCGTGCGCTCTCTGCAAAGGTCTAACAATAACTAAACGTCAATTTAAATATATCCGTTCCCCCAGATGGCGACGTCGCTAACCACATAAAACAAAAGAGGCTCATTATCAGGCTTCTGCCTTGCCGACACATGCTTGCGAAGAGAGTCGGTGGTGCAATAAAATTCACGTTAAAAACATAAGGCAGAGAAACAAAGAATCTCTCGAAGGTTCTGCGAAATTCCTAAAAGTGATAAGGGTATTACTTGAAGACGATAAATGACACTCGGAGATCAATTGGATTCTATACGAGCTATCAAACGAATTGGTTTGAATAAACATCGAATTGTACAAGTAAGAAATATAAATTGCACGACTGCATATGCTTGAAAGGGAAATCTTTCGAGAAAACAGGGGGAGGGAGGGAGACGATGATCAGGCGGTGGGAGGAAGAGGGTCGAGCGGCGGCGATCGATGGATGATCGACCGATGGATCGATCTCGAACCGCGGTGGTGGTCGGTGCGTAGATCCCGCCGGGGAATGCCTGGAGCGACAGCTCGAGTGTTGCCATGGCGACCAACGTTTGCCCCGGCACACTACCTCTGTTCCGCTCCGAGCTACCCACCGGCGACGGTGCTCGATCGAACCCTTTCCGAATCCCGTCTTTCTAACTAGCCACTAGCCACTACTCGCGCTTTTCTCCTCTCTTCTTCCCCTTTCTCTGTTTCCCTGCTCGTCCGTCCGTCCGTCCGTTCCATAGCCACGATCTCTCGACTCGACCACCGTCGCGGCGCTCTGTGTGTATTCTCGTTCTGGATTCACTAGAAAGGAGATACACTTGGCCGGACAGGCTGTTTTTTTACCAATCGTTCGGCAACAAAGAGTCTCGATGTGATCGACTGATCGTCGATTTACAATACCTGTTGGTGGATCGAATAAAAAAAACACACCGTGATAATTAATGGGTTTAATGTATATAAATTATGAAACGTATAAAGTATCTATCTCTCGTTAATTCACGCTCTCTGTTCACTCTCGCTTCACCCGGGACATCCCTTCCCGGTCACAGTTGTTTTTCTTCACGATGCTCGCTCTCAATTGTTCTCGCACACTTCTCTCTCATTCGTTCTTTTTTCTACCATTAAATATACTAAACATCTCGGACCATACCACACTATAATTACATGCATACTCGGCACACTCGTACCTCCTTACAAACATTATGTACTTTCACTCCACAATATATTACGATCTATGGTAACCACTACCGCAACATCAACCCCTTCACCTACAGTGACGTCTGCATTTCCTAAGTTAGAGTCAACAATGACGTCACAGTTCGTAGGTTAACACTTTATCGACGATGGTTTTCGTATCGTTAAGATGGGAAGAAAATATACGTACTAATTCTCTATCTTCTTCTAAAATATTCAGGTCCTCGTCAAGATCTATTAGTGCCAATATCGCCATTTTCGAGCGTTTCTACATCCTCGGTAAATGTTGTTTCCATGTTTATACTTCCATCCACTTTTTTTGATGCCATACTTAAAAAATTTTAAAAGTAATAAGTGTTAGGCTTATTTTAACACTCCTGCTGTACGTTTAAAATCTGATTGCGAGATAAAACATGGCCGGACATTCACATAACGGCGTCATTCGTCGACAGATAACAGTATTCAACTTGCCGCCAAATGATGTCATCCGTAAAGTCAACTGTAAATACGATAAATAATATATATAAATTAAATTTATTTAAAAAAAACTAGATATCAATAAATACGACAAATATTTAATTTCTAAAAATATATTTATTTATTTTTATTCAACAAAAATAATAATATATTTATATATATTCAGATCATTTATTTTCGAGATAATTAAATTATTAAAATAAATTAATTAACCCTGATACAAAAGGTACAAATTATATTTTACTTGTTTTTTTTTTTTAAATTCATTCTCATTACTTTAATTATAAACAATTTTATTAATTTTAAATTATTACTATAATATTAATATTTATTATGAAATTTCATTTTTATATATTTCATATTTTATACATAATAAATAAATTTATATTTAAATACAAGGATAAAGAAAAGTATTTCTCCAGAAGGCTCTTTTCAATGCTAACATTCCAAGCTATGTTATGCTGCTTCAATGGAAAATAAATATCACTTTTTGGTCATGTCGAACTTCATTCAATTCAATTCAATATATCAAGGGATTAACGCTTGCTTTAGATCGGCATCGCAATTCAATTAATCGCGTCCCCGCGTCAAAGGGTTGCGGACCGCGTTCCCTTTTTCCGTACGTGACACGACAACGATCGACACCGCGATTCGATCGATATTGTTTCCTCGAACGCGAATGGCGTCCCGCGTTTATGGCGTTTGCCGTATTTCGCTAGCGGAAACGCGGTGTCGACGCATTTCTCTCCAGTGTACATTCAACGAGATTCAAGCGAAACGCGCCAGCCAGTTGCTGCAGTTTGACGATAACGATAATACCATCGTGCAGCAGGACGGGGAGAGTCCATTGTTCCGATCGACTGTTTTCTCGTTGCGTGCAACGTTCCTCCTTCGCACGGCGCATCTTCTCCAAGTATCTGGCTACGGAAACTCGCGATCGGTTAGCAACTCTCGGCGTCTTGAATGCCGACGACCGTCTATCATCGCGCTTTCTCCTCTCTTTCCCTTTAATCCCTTATCTGTCCTTTTATCGTAACATCTAGCTGATTCTCCTCTCCTTTTTTCTTTTTTTTTCTGTTTTTTTTTTGTTTCTCTTTTTTTTTATAGCTTCTCCTTCCCTTTCGCGACCTGAATTCCTTCAACTCGCTTTGACCGTCTTTACCTCGGCTCGAGAAACTCGTCGTCTCTTTCTCTCCTTTCTCCTTTCCTTGCATTTGCTCTCCCGTTTTCGGAAAGACAAGCTCTGAACGAAGACAAGTTGACGATAACTTTTTTTCGACATATACGTAGAGATCGACTTCTTTTATACAGGGTGTTTCGTAACGTTCTTGTGGAACCCACTTCGGGAGCTGATTATACGCCTAAAAGTAATGAAAAAAAGTTATATAAATATATGTCCTGTCTGTCTTCGTTCATGAGATATAATGAATTTTCTGTTTTTTAATTACTTTTACAAAAGATGCTCGAAATGACCAGCCTGCACGCGTCTTGTCATTCATCTGGTTACTCTCTCTATCGTTCCTGGTGTTTCTCGAATTTGTCGGAAGCCTTGCTCTATTTATATTTCGTAGTATTTCAGCATTTTCAATCGATGTTGCGTATACAATAGATTTTAAATGTCCCCACAAATGAAAATCTAATG